AGATACTTGGTAAGTATACTACCTTGAAACCCAGCTATAAGACAACGTCAAGACAATAATTGCATTCGCTGGGGAAAAAACTGCAACTCGAATACGTTCAATTGAGTTTGTGAGTCGTCGAGAAATTTCGCTTTTACACTAAAAAACCTCGGCTTTTTTGGTTTTGGTGTCTTTTCAAAGCTTTTTGCGGTGTTTACTTTTTAAGACGGTTTTAGGTTGAAAGTTTTTTTGGATCTGGAGTCCGATGTAATATCACCTTTTCTTATTTTGTTGCTGGTTCCTTCGCGGTCGTCTACCTGAAACTGCGTCTGAATCCGTCTACGTGCCAACACTCCAAACGCAGACATTATTGAAAGGAAGAGACAAACCTGCCTGATATTAGACGTTAGGCGTGACAGGCATTTGAAGGGGATGAGAAAAGAAGAAGTATTTAAGGAGGTCAAGAAAGAAGGAAAAGATAACATTCCCTTCTTCCTCTCGCGCTCTTAATGCCTTACTGTAGCCTTAATCTCCTTTCCCTTTACCCCTTCAGACGTCTGTCTCGAAAGGATTGGACAGACCAAAGTTTACAAAAAATTCGACGAGACAGACACAAGAAACCATAGGCCCTTGTTTTTACTAAATGTTTCTGGTAAGATTTATGATTCATGAGTAAATGATGTAATCATGAACCACGAGATCAACACCAACCACCAAGTGAACAAATGAAGAAGACTTGACTTCATGTCGGCTCTGTTCTGTTGCAAAGCACCCGCAAGAAGCTCCCAGAGCACGAAAAAAAGAATAGGGAAAAATACTCGACTGCGCCTCGTGTTTCTTTATTAAACAATTTATCACAGCTATTGAAAATATAAGGTTTGAAATATATTTACGTTTTATTTGAATTCAAACATACAGAATTTTTTACCTCTCACAAATGTTATTTGCTAAACGTACACCACACTTGAAGTTCCTGGTGTCGGATTTTCAGTACGTTGAAGGTCTAGATCGCGCAAAGTTTATCACAGCTATTGAAAATATAAGGTTTGAAATATATTTACGTTTATTTGAATTCAAACATACAGAATCTTTTACCTCTCACGGATGTTATTAGGGAGTTTAAGATACGGAGACTACGGACTACGAACTACGGCTGGACGCGCGTTGTCCTTCGTTTGTAGCACTGGGTTGAGTCGTGCAAATATAGAACGTTAAGATTCCACTACAGACAGTAGACTACGAGAGAAGAGGCGAAGAGGGAAACAACACGCAAAGATTTTCTTGTTTTCATCACAGTTCACAAAAATGCAAGTCACTTTTTCATGTGATCTTATCTTTAGAACGATGAATAAATTCTTCCATACTTGAAGGAAGCAATTACACGTAATTACTTCGGATGAAATTGGTGAACAAAGTTTTGGTTACACAGGTTTAATTTTTTTCGCCCATGAATACTTATGTCAAATATTAAAGAAATAGACAGAAATAGTAATAGCTCATTTATTAGATTTAGAAGGTGGATTTCTCCGACTACTGATTTGATGTAGTTTGAAGTATTGAAATGCCGAGTTNAATATTAAAGAAATAGACAGAAATAGTAATAGCTCATTTATTAGATTTAGAAGGTGGATTTCTCCGACTACTGATTTGATGTAGTTTGAAGTATTGAAATGCCGAGTTTCGATTGTCTCGAAGATGTTTACATCATTTTCATTCAGCAATTGCGATACAAAACTCGCATAAACAAAGGTTACACAAATGGAAAGACACACTAATCAGTTCGAACAAACATTGAAACTTTTCAAGTGCGAAGAGAAAGTAAATTACCTGCATGATTTCTCTTCTCCTCGACCGTCAATCTGAAGCTTATTTAAATATGAGCTTAGCTAGATAAAAATGTAGTCACAACAATGGATTAAAAGCGTAAATCTGAGCAGAAATTAGACACAATTTACATATTTTGCTTCCCTCTCACTTAAAGCAGGTGAATTGAAAACTTTTTTACGAAAAGACGAGATTCTTGAATTACCGAGACGGCAAAATACGAGCAAAATATTCTCCGTAGTCCCGACTACGCGAAGCAGCTCAACAACTCACCGTAGCCGCAGGACTACGCGGGAAAAACGAACAGTCACGTGGTTTTGATCATGCGCAGTAGCATGTTTATCCGTAGCCGTAGTCTGTAGTCGCGGTATCTTAAACTCCCTGTTGGCTAAACACCACACTTAAAGTTCCTAGTGTCGGATTTTCAGAACGTTGAAGGTCTAGATCGCGCAAAATTCGGCTTTTATCGATTTCAAATGTTTTTGTTTACTGTTGCCATAGTGATAGCGATTTTACTTAAAACTACATTTTGACAAACTTCAGTCCAGTGTCAGTCAATGTCAGTCATAGCGATCGCACAATTTTAATCACTTATATCGGCATGGTCCCCGACGACTGTATCGAAACACCTTTAAAACAGTAATGAAAAGGCAGCAGAACTTCTTACCTTGTCTCCATTCATTGTTATTAAATTTGATGTTCTCATTTAATTCTTTAATGAATGCTATTTGTCTTTTATCGGTTGTTCTAACAGAACAACATTGAATTTACAGTTTCAACTTTCACACCTGCATCAAGTTTCATGTCCTCTCACCACACTGGTGATTTTTCCATTACGCTACCACCAGGCAGTTGGCAGGACTCCATATCTGAACAAACATTTTATAGATTGAATAGCGCTAGAAAACAAAAACCCCAAAATAAATTAGACAATCCAAATAATAGATGCGGTTACACGGGGCACTTTTACCGTGGGAAATTGCCCTTTCACCACGGGAAACCAGGAAAACTGTATCAAGTAATGTGACCGACGTTTCCCGAGGTAAATTTTCCGTGTTAACTATCCATGGATACGTCAAAAAGATCACATGAAGTGCCCATTTACCGTGGTAAGCTACAATGGTGTTTAGGAGCCAATCACTATGCTCTGTTTGACAGGAACACATAACCGCAAAATTTCTTCGCAGCTTTCATTCGCGCCAAATGACAAACTCGTTCGCCCCGGAATGAATAACTGTGGCTTTGAGACTGTGGATATGGCGGAATTTCGGGCGATACTGTGAGTATTTTAGGTACTTCAATTGATTTCTCTACCTGTTTACTAGATCGACTATTTTAACAGCGGCTAAAACCAAGATTATTTTTATTCTTGTTAAAAATTCGAATATGCAGGGTGATTTGCACAATGGAGTCCTCTTTAACTGGCGATAACAGACACGAGAATGTAACGAACATCAACCAGTACCGTCTAGACTACGAGTAGTCATTTGTCCTCAGGGATAGTAGAGAGAGCGAAACGCGAGCGCGCGTGAAAATTACCCCACGCGTGTCACGGTACTAACTAAAACCCAAGTGTGACTTCTACCGCGGGAAAATTTACCACGAGAAATGCCGTTTACCGTGCTGTGTGTAACCGCACCTAATGTCTCATTTCCATTTTAACTGAATTAGAATGTATGAAATGACCAACTGATACAGCTTGGCCAGCACTCAGTGTGACTGAATAAAATGGCTAAAAGCGATAAAAAGTAAGGCAGAAACAATTACGCGTAGAAGGATTTTTCACGTCGCCGCAGGGAGGAAACTTTTTTCTCTGCAGTAGATATCATTCTCAGGTAGAGAAAATACTTTGGAGTAAGGGTCAGACACTTTCTGTAAATTGCTAAAACATAAATGTAGCTAATTTGCATAAACTTTCAGTACAGCCTCGATGTCATTGTTAAAGTTGAAACTGTATTAAAGTTGAACTATTTTCTGTCAGGAATACTTGTAATAGCCAAATGAATTTTCTTTTCTTTTTTACGTTTTTTGATACGGTGGCAAACAAAGAAGTTTTGCCACAAATTTTATTCTTTTAACAAGTAAATTGGTCAGTACCTTTACTTTATGATAGCATTGATCCTGGATCAGGCACTACTTTTGCAAAATAATCTTTCAGCTCCATGTAATCATTCTCATTCTTTTATGGAATTGATTTCTTAGTCAGTAATAAATACAATACAAGTAATAAGCCCTTAAAGCAATGAAGAAAGAAAGAAGTTGATCATGTTTAATGTTTGCGCCTGAATTTATCGTTTCCGACGGCACACTTGTCACTTCTGACAGCGGTATTTTAAGGTGGCCCGGAAAACCGTCTCTTAAAAGAGGAAGAAAATCGTCTTGATCCCAGTATATGTGATTATTTTCTGACGGATAGAATGGTTAGCATTCATTATATGAAAAAACGAAAATTTGCCTCTACACGGACACCCTCTTAAGACGTGAGCTTTTGATCCCACCCCTCTTGTTAAAAAAAAGTTAAATACACTTCAAACCCGTTCAAGCTATGACCACCAAACTTAGATTTATCTGCAAACATTTTAAAGCCTTCGTGACGTTTATGGCAACATTGACGTTACCATGGCAATTGAGTTTTACAGACATGTTTTTCCAAATTTGAAAAAGGAAGAAAGTTTCATTTGTACTTTCACTTATTGAATTGTTATATTACACTTATTATTTTAGCATTATTTGATCAAAATTTTTCCAACTGTTAAATGTAATCCGAGATTTTTGGTAACTAATTTGACGAAAAACATAAATTCCGGCAATTCAATGTTCATTTCTCTGGGAATTCCAAAACTCGCATAGTTTTTGTTTTCTCAGTATTCTTTTATGTGCAGATCGAATTTGTTGTTACGATTACCTCGATTTATACGGGTTTAAAGTAAATTGGTTTAAAATGGCGGATCAAAGATGACGCATGGTTCCAGTGTTTGTAACAAAAAGAACGTCATAATGACATCACTGGTAAGGTTTAAGGTTACCAATGGTTAGTCAACTTCTTGATTTTATTACACACCTTACTTAAGTATTTTTTCGCTTTATGCCAAACCTTGAGGGAAATTTGGATTCTGCCCCAAAAAAAAAATTAAAATGTGACCTGCCAATGACGTTGAATTTCATTACAGGCCAGAGGATCATTTGCAATGGATTCAATGGAATGGAATATCATCTGGAGTCTTTGCTTTGGCTTATTGGCAGCTGCAGTTATTTCTGGGAACATAGTCACGATCACAATATTCCTTAAAAGGCGACTTCGTAAACGTGCTTATTTCCTTCTCATTAGTTTGGCGGTGGCAGATCTCTTAGTAGGATTGCTGGCAATTCCCCTTTACATTGCACTTCAGTACGAATACGACAACTTTGAAGACGACCAAATCATTGTTGCTGTCACTGATTTCATGGACATGTTCACTGGCTTTACGTCCATCTTTACTCTTGCCACAATATCATTGGAGCGAATGTATGCTGTTGGTTGGCCTTTTCGTCACCGAACTCAGGGTTCGCGATTCTATATCTTCGTCATATCAGTTCCATGGAGGGTGACCCACCCCCTAAGGGTAGCTGAAAATTGCACGACCCACCCCTTGCACAAGGCTCAAAACCTCATGACCCACCCCCTCTCTGCTCCGGCCCACCCTCCTCTATACTTTTTGACCAGTCCCTATATATCCATGGATACGTCAAGAAGATCACACGAAGTGCCCATTTACTGTGGTAAGCTACAATGGTGTTTAGGAGCCAATCATGATGCTCTATTTGACAGGAACACGTAACTGCAAAATTTCTTCGCAGCTTTCATTCGCGCCAAATGACAAACTCGTTCTCCTTCGCGCCGGAATGAATAACTGTGGCTTTGAGACTGGATATGGTGGAATTTCGGGCGATACTGTGAATATTTTACGGATTTCAATTGATTTCTCTACCTGTTTACTAGATCGACTATTTTAACAGCGGCTAAAACCAAAATTATTTTTATTCTTGTTAAAAATTCGAATATGCAGGGTGATTTGCACAATGGAGTTCTCTTTAACTGGCGATACCAGACACGAGGATGTAACGAACATCAACCTGTACCGTCTAGACTACGAGTAGTCCCCATTTTTTCTCAGAGACAGTAGAGATAGCGAAACGCGAGCGCGCGTGAAAATTACCCCACGCGTGTCACGGTATACTAAAATTAAACCCAAGTGTGATGTACCGCGGGAAAATTTACCACGGGAAATGCCGTTTACCGTGCTGTGTGTAACCGCACCTAATGTCTCATTTCCATTTTAACTGAATTAGAAAGTATGAAATGACCAACTGATACAGCTTGGCCAGCACTCAGTGTGACTGAATAAAATGGCTAAAAGCGATAAAAAGTAAGGCAGAAACAATTACGCGTGGAAGGATTTTTCGCGTCGCCGCAGGGAGGAAACTTTTTTCCCTGCGGTGAATATCATTCTCAGGTAGAGAAAATACTTTGGAGTATCGGCCAGACACTTTCTGTAAATTGCTATAACATTAAAGTAGCTAATTTGCATAAACTTTCAGTACAGCCTTGATGTCATTGTTGAAGTTGAAACTGTGTTAAAGTTGAACTATTTTCTGTCAGAAATACTTGTAATAGCCAAATGAATTTTCTTTTCTTTTTTACGTTTTTTGATACAGTGGCAAACAAAGAGGAGTTGCCACAAATTTTATTCTTTTAACAAGTAAATTGGTCAGTACCTTTACTTTGATAGCATTGATCCTGGATCAGGCACTACTTTTGCAAAATAATCTTTCAGCTCCATGTAATCATTCTCATTCTTTTATGGAATTGATTTCTTAGTCAGTAATCCATACGATACAAGTGATAAGCCCTTAAAGCAATGAAGAAAGAAAGAACTTGATCATGTTTAATGTTTGCGCCTGAATTTATCGTTTCCGACGGCACACTTGTCACGTCTGACAGCGGTATTTTAAGGTGGCCCGGAAAACCGTCTCTTAAAAGAGGAAGCAAAACGTCTTGGTCCAAGTATATGTGATTATTTTCTGACGGATAGAATGGTTATCATTCATTATATGAAAAAACGAAAATTTGCTTCTACACGGACACCCTCTTAAGACGTGAGCTTTTGATCCCACCCCTCTTGTTAAAAAATAAGTTAAATACAGTTCAAACCCGTTCAAGCTATGACCACCATACTTAGATTTATCTGCAAACATTTTAAAGCCTTCGTGACGTGTATGCCAACATTGACGTTACCATGGCAATTGAGTTTTACAGACACGTTTTTCCTCATTTGAAAAAGGAAAAAAGTTTCATTTGTACTTTCACTTATTGAGTTGTTATATTACACTCATTATTTTAGCATTATTTGATCAAAATTTTTACAACTGTCAAATGTAATCCGAGATTTTTGGTAACTAATTTGACGAAAAACATAAATTCCGGCAATTCAATGTTCATTTCTCTGGGAATGCCAAAACTCGCATAGTTTTTGTTTTCTCAGTATTCTTTTATGTGCAGATAGAATTTGTTGTTACGATTACCTCGATTTATACGGGTTTAAAATGAAATATAACATATTAAATTGGTTTAAAATGGTGGATCAAAGAAGACGCATGGTTCCAGTGTTTGTAACAAAAAGAACGTCATAATGACATCACTGGTAAGGTTTAAGGTTACTAATGGTTAGTCAACTTCTTGATTTTATTACACACCTTACTTAAGTATTTTTTCGCTTTATGGCTATAGCTTGAGGGGAATTTGGATTCTGCCAAAAAAAAATTTAAAATATGACCTGCCAATGACGTTGAATTTCATTACAGGCCAGAGGATCATTTACAATGGATTTTAACCAATGGAATATCATCTGGAGTCTTTGCTTTGGCTTATTGGCAGCTACAGTTATTTCTGGGAACATAGTCACTATCACAATATTCCTTAAAAGGCAACTTCGTAAACGTGCTTATTTCCTTCTCATTAGTTTGGCAGTGGCAGATCTCTTGGTAGGATTGCTGGCAATTCCCCTTTACATTGCACTCCAGTACGTATATGACAACTTTGAAGACGACCAAATCATTGTTGCTGTCACTGATTTCATGGACATGTTCACTGGCTTTACGTCCATGTTTACTCTTGCCACAATATCATTGGAGCGAATGTATGCTGTTGGTTGGCCTTTTCGTCACCGAACTCAGGGTTCGCGATTCTATATCTTCGTCATATCAGTTCCATGGATCCTATCGTTGGTTGCTGCATCAACAGAGATTGTTTTGCAGTACGTGCTGGTGAGACCACTAACTTTTACCTTCATTCTCACTGTTAGTATGTTTACACCAATCATAATCACTTACACGGCTTACTTTTTTCTGTGGAAGAAAGAGAAATCTCGAGTAAGTGTCTCCCAACAAAATCATCAGCTGCAAGACCGAAAGTTAGCCAAGACTGTGGCGTTAATAACAGGTGCTTTCCTTTTGACATGGCTTCCTCTTCAAATTTCACTTGTGGTTATCAATTTCTGCATTTCATGTCGGCAACTATCAACCGTGGCGAGGCATTTCATGAAACTACTCCAGTATGGAAACTCAGCAATCAATGTCGTTATGTATGCTGTGAGAGACAAAGATTACAGAAGAACTTTTGGTGTGATGATTTCTTCCTTGAACTGCCCTCGCCAAAGACGTCGTGAAGCACCCACGGTCGTCACGTTGACGACATTTGCTGATTTTAATGCAAATACTCCCGAAAGCTTTCAGCAAACTAACGAAGTTTCTGCCATCGAGGACGAAGGAATTCTTACTCCCCGGTGAAGACAATATGGAATTGCGTAATAGAAGATACAGTTGACCCCCGATAACTCGAACCCTCACTTACTCGAACCTCGCTCTAACTCGAACCAAAATCGATTTCCCCTGGATTTCCGTCATACATTTACTGTAATTTTACCCTCGGTAACTCGAACACCCGATAACTTGAATCTCCCGCTAACTCAAAGTAATAATTGTTTCCCCTAAGATCATTTCTATTTAATTTTACCCTCGATAACACGAACCATGTTTTGAGCCCTTAAAAAATCGGGAAAAAACTGTGTACTGGCTTCCGAAACACTGAATTTTGAATTTCCCATTGAAGTGTTGTAGCAGGTTGTAGGCATATAGTTTACTGGTGGAGGTGATGTTGTTTGTCGCAAATCTAACGTGAAACTGCTTTACTTCTCATAACAGTAAAACGCATGCTCTATTTAGGCAATATTTTGTTACGTTACGTTCTGATTTATAATCAGTATCTTTCAATTTTCACTTAAGGTTCCCTGTGCAGTAAAAACTGTTTTTTTTCCTTACTCCCAGCTATTTTCTTCGAGCTCCCGATAACTCGAACTTTTTTCGATTTCCCTTGAAGGTTCGAGTAGCCCGTGAACAGGCTCTCTGTTTGGGGAAAAAATAGCGAGGAAAGGGAAGGGAAGGGGTGGAGAGAGCCTGTAGACAAACATTTGAGGCCGCCATTCCGCCCTGTTGTAATTATCCTGCCGATCATCTGTCTCTAAGATCGTTATCTGTCAATCAATTTCGCGCATGAGTAACTCCTGGGAAAATTAACAGGAAATGAGCGGTGTTTTCCTCCGTCTGAAAACAAAGTGAAATAGCCTGAAATGGAGCCTTACTGTCGATTTTGCAAAAAGTCGTTGATCTCCGGTAAGAGAATTAATACGGTGCCGGTCTTTGGCGTTTCAAGAAGACAGCGTTGTACTAGCGCAAGCATTTGAATCCTTAAAATTTCCCCTTGAGCAAGGAGAAAACTTTTCCGACTTAAGCTGCTTTACTTGTGCCCGACGGGCCGTTCGTCTTGGCAATTAAGTTTCTAATTTAACAAGCCCCTACAAATGAGCGAACTTGGAATGCGAAAGGTACAGATACTATAATGACTTCTCCAGAACGTGAAGCTCGGAAGACGAGTACAAAGAAATCAGCAGCGCTTTGATCGCCGGCAAGAATTACACCTTCGGGAATTTATAGCAATAAAAGGGGCGGTAGGCCTGCACGACTTTTACCTCATGCCAAAATGCTGCTTGTTCCCATAAATTTTTCCTTCTGCTGGGTAGATTATGCTCTGGAAGGTTCTACATTTCTACTGAGCAATGTGATTTTAGCCGCCTGTTTCACGCTGAGAGGTCATAGCACATACGGTGTTACTGTGTTTTTTGTTTCTGGTCGGCAGGATTTGCCCTCTGATGCAAGAGCATTTTCTTTGACCTCTTTTGAAGCATAAACCTTTTTATTGCGGTCTTACTTTTCTCCAAAGTGCCCTCTGGATCTGAAGAGAACTAAGTGATTTTCTTTAGTCCGTGAATGTAATGTTTTTCTGCATTGTTTTATCACACAGGGCCCAGCTCGTTAGTTTTAGTGAGTCTTTTGACTGGAGCACGTAGTTCCTCCCTGGGTAATACCTTTTGAATAAGCTTGACATTCTTTGGACTGTTATGCTATTGCCACTTTGTGATCAAATCGCCTGCTACGTGCCGACCGAAAAGCCGATGTCAATCAGCCCTGTCAACAGTCAGTGTTCGCCAATAGGAGTTTGCGTCAGGATCTGATGCACAGCGGGTGCCGTGGAATGGCGGTCCCAAATGTTCGTCTACAGGCCTTTTCGCTTTACCCTCTCCCCCGTTCCCCGCTCGACCAAAGGCCAGCTTACAGGCTAAGGTTCGAGTTATCGGGAGCCGACTGTATTTCAAAAAGTCATGTTATGTTGAACGAAATGCAGAAAATTCGGAATCAGACGTGGACTGACCTCCACTAACCACTGTGACGTAAAGGGGATAAAGGGGCCGCGAAATAAAGGCTCAGGAATGCTTGCGTGGCCTTGTACCTAACTAAAACGAAAACAGAATTAAAAACAGAAAATACAGAAAATATGATAAATACAACACTTAAGCAACGTTAACATGATGACATTCTTTATTTTTTTATTTAACATTGCTGGCACTTAATAAATATCTTGTACACACTTAACCTACAAGACTATAGAAATCAACGTTCCAAAACGTGCGCATAGAAATTTATATACGAGCTCTGAGAACACTGAAAACCTTGCAAGTCTTAAAACTTACTCGTTATGATGTAAAATGCTATGTCCACACTAAAATTACAATTTAACTTCTACACATTTTGCATTACAATTTCTGTGCATGTGCCTTGCTCACCAGATTTGTCTGAACGCCTAGACAGGCTAGAAGATAAGAAGTAAATCACAGAGTGGCAAAACTGCTGACATCTCTATACAGTGGTAATAGAATTTCAGTCTTCTAAGTGCCTCTTCTTATCTCGACCTACAACGAAAGTCGAGTCCCTCAATAAAATTGTCCTTCTTTGTTTTCTTTTTGTTTGCTTTCTTCTATTTTTTTGTTCTTTGTTTTGCTTTGTTTTTTCTTTTGTTTTGTCGTTTTTTTAATACGAGTTCTGATGATCTGATCAAAAGTTAAGCAACTTAAGGCTTAACGTTCTTCATGTGCTACAGCTGTACAAGATTAACCAAAAAATGAGCGTGATGAAATTTTTGCAAAATCCGGCAGTCAGACTGAGCGTCACCGGTCCGCCGTATGCCTTTAATAAAGGACATACATCACAGTACATTGGTGTTGTTTTAATTTTTCTAGCCTTTGCTTTTCTGGGATTTACAGCGTCACAGGGAGCTTGGGTGAGATTCTTCATATTAAACTGCATGATTATCATGATAATAATTATTTGTGTTCCTTTTGGGTGTTAATCAATTCTGGATCGAGACCTGCTTACCTATTGCGCTTTGTACTATTGTTTTAAGACATATGTTTGTCATTGCAGGGCTTCGGCAAGTGGAATAAAGGGGGTGAATAATAGAACCAAATGTAAATTTTGAAAGCTGTTGATTTTTGGTCATGCCCTCCATCGCATTTTTTTTATTTCAAAAACCTTAGCTTCCATATTTTCATTAATTAACACACGAGCTCATTGCCTAAATAGGAAGTAAACCTGAAGTTCCCTTACACATTTTGTTTATTAGAGGGGTAAGAATAGGCACATTTAATACATTTCAAAGCAAGGGGAGAAGTTAGGAAACAGTGATAAAGCTGACGCTCATATATCTCGACATGTTTTTTTTACCCCCCTGATCCACCCATATTCAAATTTAATATTTTACAAAGATTCGCGGCAAAGCGATGTTCACGTCTGTTACACTGTATTATTGTTTGATGATGATGATGATAACTTTATTTACGTCTGAAACTTCTAGTTTAGCACAAGTGCTGAAACTAATCGGGGAGACATAAAGTTTCAAGATTCCCTATGTTTGCTTAAGAGGTTTCAACGGAAAAGAAATGAGATATTAATCTCGGTGGAAACATAGTTAATTGAGTGGAATGGTTATGAAACCCGCCAGACTCCTTTGTTATATGTTTTTGTGGACCTGAAAGTGCACAACAGTCAAAAGAATTCCTATCATTTTGATTGTAATGACCAATAAAAACGTTGCATTAATTTATTCCGTAACAATTTGCCAACAGAAAACAAAGGATTTTGCACTTTCAGGGTGCTTCCAACATAAACTGCAGCACTGTTGTTTTTATCATTGATGTTTGCCGGTTTTCAGAACCAGTCTTCTCTAATAACTATGGTGGAAATGAAAAGGCATTTGAAGGAACACGTGGTTATGTATTATTCCACCTCTACACGTCAAGGCTTCTTCGTTATTTTTTGAGACATCCAACTAATTGACACCTTAGTTTTTATTATTCAACACGGTGGGCAGAAGTATAGACTTCTTTACGGTTTACGGTTTCCGTCACTACCGTACAATCTCGCTAAAACTCGTAGTAGAATGGCGACTACTATCACTTTTTCCCGCCCAAATGGCACTGGTTCACGCACCCGCACTACCTAGTACTAACAAAATTTGTCCTCGTAGCCATCCTCTTCTAAAGGTCTCTAATACTTTGCCGCACATCGATCGGATTTTAAAATAATTATTTTTCGAAGGAAGCAGGACACAACCATTGTAGATGAAAATCATCAAGCTGTTTAAATACTGAAACTGTGAACACTGATCAGTACGATGCTGTTCGTTGCGGATTCTTTTAAAATCCGAAACCTTGATCTTTCACCCAGACAAATTGTTCCTTTTATAGCTCTTCTAAACTCAGGCATTCTAAACGAATAAATTATATATAGGATTAATCAATGAATTTGCTAATAAAAGGAACTTGGAGGAATGACATAGGAATGTGAGCATTTCACCACCGTTTTCTTCAACAATGAAACGCCCAAAATTTATGATTATGAAGGGTAGCCAAGCCATTAGAGATAGCAGTGTTACAAGGAACAATGTCTTGGCAAGTTCCTTGTTGTGTTTACGACAGTTTGCTGGTAATCTTGGATCTTCCTTTTTGTTAAGTACCCAAATTAGAGAATATGAGCAAGTAATCAACGTGAGACAAACGAAACAGCTTACTGAAACAAGCCAAACATATGACAGATGAGATATGAGTTTAAAGACTACCATTTGTTCGATGAGAGCTACTAGCCCTGCATAGAGCCAACAAGCCCCGATGGCTTTAAAATAACTTCTTGTCGATACAGTACGGAGACGGAACGGCCAAGCCATAGCGAACAGTCTCTCTAAGGACACCAGAACAAGAAAGAATATAGACGCCGACCCAAAAATGTCTTCAAATGTCACATGTTCCTCCCACAAAGAGGTGCCCCTTAAAAAAAGTGGCTTCCTCATTTTCATGACCACAAGCTCAAATAAATAGGCGACTCCAAACATTTAATAAGCCACTGACAGATTCAACAATAGATAACGGGTTCGTCTTAGTTGGATTCTCCTCTTCCAGAATATAGTTATTGAGAACACGTTTGCAATGATAATGGCCAGCGTTTCGACTGTGAAGGCACTTGCCCATAAAGCACCAAATGACCTTTCCTTACACATTCTGTTCATTCGAATATACAAAATAAAAATACGAAATAAAAATCATGCCATACAATGCACCTCTCTCATATACCCAAATCGGTTTCCAATCACGACAGCTTGACGTCTTTATCGATTCAATTAGTTTTATTTAATTGCGTTTTTAGAAATCTTTTGCGTTTTCATATCAATCAGTTCGGAGATGAAAAACTGTTTCTATTGCGCACTGTGCTATTGACTGAGAACTAACTAATGTTTACTTGGGATAAAATTTCCTTTTTTTTTTCTTTTTGTTCTTAGGGCAAGTGAAATTTGTTTAAGGAGCATATTGTTATGTATATTGTTCTTTCATTGTATTTAATTTATAGTTCTTAAGAAATCCAACATATTCACCAGTACCTCATTCAAACTTTGGTGGTATTTATACTTTCACATTTTCATTACGGCCAATTGCATAAGTAGATTTTTTGTAAACTTAATTCTACACTTCATTGTGTGTTTCATTTAAATAAAATATAACTGTAAACCTACTCATGACAACGATTTTGAGCATAGGGATAGTTTCAAATAGGCCAGCAGTTTCTAATTATCAAAATTCATACTTGACTCCGAATTTGACGGAAATAAAACAAAAAAAAGTTGAATTATTCATCCCTGAATCTTAATACGATTTCTTCTGTCCTATTCCCCTCGGCCTCTGAGCCAAGTATGAATTTTGATAATTTAAAACTGGCCTATTAAGCCTAAAAATAGGACGTTAATACAAGAAAGCTCGGAAAGCTATTCTAGGTGATCACCCTGGGTGTTTCATTTTGTCTCAGCGTTTAATAAGTTCATTATTATTATAATGATTATCATCATCATCATCATCATCATCATCATCATCATCATCATCATATCATAATCATCTTCGTCACTAATAGAACTATTATTATAATTACTAATTTTTGTTCAGTTTGTTTTGCGGTTTCTTTAAAGAGCACACTAGTGACAAGAAGACTTAAGAAAATAGCAAATTAAAAAGGTGTCATCAGTTGCCCGGAAAGTACTATTTGTGCAATAAGCAAAAAGGCCCCAATGCTTTTAATGCGGCTTCTAGTCGGTGTAGCTCGGAAACGAAACGTACAAGCCACAGCAAACATTCTCTCCAAGGAAATGTTAACAGGAAAAGGAACTGAAGCGGAGCCAAAAAATTCCTTCTTGTACAACATATCCTACCCACATAATTGTATAGCACTCCGAGGATTACAGCCTTCGAATTGTGGGCTAAACCAAACATCAAGTCAGCCACTTAGAGATTTATCAATAGATAACACTGGTTATTTTAAGCTGGATCATTCTCCTCCAAAATACATTTATCTTGAAACCAAAGTTTCGAGTGACAAGACACCTGCCCATAGAAAATCAAATGTATCCCCTTTACATGTATGTTTAGTCAAGGTGGACTCGTAATTCAATAAGATTCTATTTTGAAATGAAATTGATAACAAAGTCCATTTCATAAACTCAAGACAAAATGTAATGTCTCACAAAGCAAGAAACTTTTGTGAGAAGAATACCCAAATTAAGATCCAACGCGCTCTACATCCATGTGAAATTCATTAGCAAATTGGAAATATAAGGAGGATCTGAGGGTTATCAATGGTAAAGAGTCTGCAAGATAAGTTGATTGTTTTCTTCGTCGCATTGTAGAGCACCGACATGACTTGCAGAAAGGAGAAAGATACTTGAGATATACCACCGGGCTCACAAGAGAACAAAAAGTCTTTAGAAATTTCATAAGAAGTAGACCATTGCATGCCAAAGTCAAAGACTTTTGAAACTTTGATATCCCTTCCAGAATTTCAATTGGCGTCCATACCACAAGATAAATAATAGTGCTGAACATAAACGCCTTAGCTAAAGTAAAATTTCGTTTCCCAAAGATCCACTCATTACTGGATCGGCAGTTTTGTAAAATAAGAAAGTAGGAAGTGCAAATAACTGTCAAACTAGCAATCTCGATGAACCATATCAGCAAATCGGCAAAAATCTCTTGATAGAAACGAGCTAAAGCAAAGGCAAACAACATAGTTGAAGTCATCGAAATGACCCAAATGACAAAGTTTGCTGATATATACCACCTCGCACGAGTGAACATGTGTTTCAAGGGCCAAAAAATCCTGCAATACATGTCAAAAGAAATTGCCGCAAAAAAACTCATGGAGAACACATCACAAAAGGTTTGTAAAGCAAGGTGCAATTCGTGATAATCCATTTTACAATCGATTCCGGGCGACCTCATTAAACCCAGTACTATTACGACGGCCACAAAACCTCTCATGATATCAATAAAAGCGAAACTCAAGGCAAAATATCGAACTCGGTCGAAATTTCCTCTCACAAGAAAGGCACTTGTGTATAGATTAAGAGCCATTACGAGCCCCGCTTCCACTGAGAATACGACACTCCAGGCGGCCAGCACACTTGAGTTAGCGATGTTGGCTGATGTGTCCGAAGCTGAGGTCTTCGGTGGATAGGCTGATGTATTTGACTCCATTCTTTAAGGCTAAAAAGGTAAAGCGGAATCCTATTTTTAGATATTAACATTCTACCTTTATATTCTTTCTCTAACCGAGTTTGAAGGCTCTTGACACCAAAAAAGTTGAGGCTAGCCATTGGGACTGAACAATGGCGAAACGAACGTTTGTAAATAATGTTTATTCTGACCCACGTAAAATAAGCAGCTATTTTGATGACACATTTCATATTAACTATTTAAATATTTATAGAATTGTTTCCCTTGCAATGAGGAATTTATCATAAGAGTTTACAAATCTTTAAATTTTCTGCATATTTGTAGAAAGTTTTCAACTCCTCAGGTTGAGGATTTTCATCAACCTATCCAACGACACCCATTTCTGTTTTTAAAAGTTGTCTTTGATATAATCGCTGATGTGTGTCCATGAAAAGTTATAGAAACCGAATCATTCTAAGAAGTCTACGTAAAATCCATTTTATGGCAACACAGAGTTAACTCGCACGTCGTATGATGTATGTTTAATTTGTTTTGAAGAATTCCAAGCCAGGATAGGGAGAGAGGTAATCAGACTAGGTTGTACCTGAATATTATTGTAAGAAATTTGTCAAAAACAAATAAAAAAGCTACCTTTTACCACGTGTATTCCACAGCTCAGAAACCAATACCTCTTGATATCTTCTAATCAAAAGTTATTTTGGTAACTTATAATGATTCTATACGTTTTTTAACATGACTCGGAGCCTGTTTTTTTGCACCTTTTGGTTAAATCGTGTGGGGCAAACAAAGTGCCTGTATGTCTTTAATTACCTGAACTCCCATGCTGATTGGTCAATTCTGGCCCTTATTCAAATGAAGGAATTGTTCGGAATATGCTAAATGTTATGAGCCAAAACCGATTTCGCAGCAGGTGATGAAATCATAGCAAGAGGCAAAGAATGCATTAAAATAACGATAATAATAAATCAGTAACCGTTTATTGTACCTTAAAATAAGTGACTTTACAGCCGTAATAATAGCAAACTTTTCAAAAAACAACATTAATAATTTGCTAGACTTTTACAGTGTACATATGCTATATCTGTACTATTGAAAATACATTTCTTTATCAGAGTGTCAATGTAGTTTACACAAAAGATGAAAGTACATTTGGGACATTGTTTTTACGTCTCCTACCATTTTACTGGAGGAGATCCCCGGGTTCCAGCCTCCGAAATCCCCCCTCTGCAAACAGGCGCTATACCAACTGAGCTTGACGCGGTAGGACTCTACACGTTATTCTTAAAAATGAAGCTAGGCTTAATAGTTATCTAAACTTATCGATCTAAGCCTGCCTCAAAAACATCAAAACGTGTAGAATGTTTCCGCGGAAAAAAATTCTTAATAAAAAGAAGTAATTACTCACATTTTACCTCGCTAAAGTCTCAAAGATCGAACATAGCCTGAAAACTGCTCGGCAGATAGCGACGAGAGGAGGCTAAAGTCGCAGCAGGCTAGGTCTAGGTCAAGGTTGCATTAATTATTTTAAAGAACACAAAAACAGTTGTTTTGGAACATAAAAGTTTATAACTTATACACGACCATTCATGGTCTCATAATAGGACCTTCTCGTGGCAAATTCAATACATTTTCCTGCTACTGCGCTCGTTACATGTAGCCTGCTTAGCTACTGTGTTTTTTAAACGTGATGAAGAAATGCGAGAAGACTGGTTTTGGTTCTCGTTTTCGTTACTCCGCCGTAAGTTCTACTTCATCGTGTTCCGACGAAACCAACAGCTACGCAGGCTAGAACGCTCGCTTACGATGTCCTGTTACTTTTGCATCCATCACTCTCTAAAGAACCATGTGACGAAAACTAACGTATTTGACAAAAGCAAAATTTTCCTACTAGAGTTGGTCACTGCAGCATTGCTTTATATTGGGTAAACTGCTTGACACATGCGTTCATCTTGTTCTTCGACCTAAATTCTCTGTTGATATAAAAATAATCAAATTCCCGGTAAAATGTCTGCTACGCAAAATTTAGTTTCTCGAAGAATCACTGAGAACATTGCAACAGGTAAGGCTGACACAAAGGATTTAGCGGCTGCGATGAACAGTGGATGAGACCTATTACATTTTTCCAAAAGGATGGGACAGTTCAATTACAACGATGCACCTATGACATTCAAGTATAGATGCTTTGTTTTAACAGTAAGACCATTTCTAGATACGCCAGAAGTAAGTGGATCAAGGTAAAAACTCCCAAAAACAAGGCAAGCTTCACCAACGGTGGAGGTTACATGACCTAACGAGGTAAACATAACGATCAACAATTTATGCCTACCTGGAGATTCATCACATTTGGGTGTACCCAATGTTTTCGTACCAAGAATCTCGACGCCAGCTTCATCCACGCACCAGCACTCCCCAGATATACTGTGGCACTGAACAACTTCAAACTCACCGTCTCCTGCACATTGAGGGATAAAATCGTCCAAGCGCGCACTGTTTATTTCTCGCTTTAACTCACAGATAGTCAAATTTCGCCCTGAAAAATGATAACGTAAATCGGCAAAAGTGACACTAGTGTCGAATATTTATTGCTTGTAGGTGTAAAACAAAAATTGCTCTGCTTTGTGTGTGGAAACTGTAAATGATAACAAGATACGTAGAGCTTGTCATTTATTACTGCTCACGCACTAGCCTGTGAACAGGCCTTTGGTCGAGCGGGGAACTTTCCTTGCTATATTTCTCCCCAAACAGAGAGCCTGTTCACAGGCTACTCACGCACAGATTACCAAGACCGAGAACAGCACACAAGGCGATGGTCACTGTGACAGATTTATCACTTCCCCAGGGGCCTACGATTTGTCTTCATTTTTCCGAAAAAGCTAGACGGTCTAATCCCTTGCAGACGTGAAACAAAGTCAGGACCTTCCCATCAGTTATTTTAATATATACCCTGAGAGTTGGTCCAGCTAAGAATCATGCATACCACGAGAGGAAGCTGGAGTCTGGTACCCTAACCAATTGAACTAATCAGCCGGTGTCAATAATAAAGTTCTAAAACGTATTGCTACAACAGGAAGGAAGTATAATGCCTTTTGAGAGTTTGTGTAGCTTATTTATGAGGGTCGATAGCAGTTTTGATCCTTACAATAATAACGATTCTGCTAAATTGCCAACTCCAAAACATGTCTTAACCACATATCTGGCAAGACATTTTGTCTAAAAGTCTATACAACACTGTAGGGCCGTAAACAGTTTATGTGTTTTCGTTTTACCATATACTTTTCACAAGGCACAAAGGAGAAACATCAACATTTTATAGATGCAGCTTCCTCGGTTGTCTCTGTACTTGCCACGGGTCTTCATTGGATCAAGAGCCCAAACCCTTAATTATAACATTGTTCTTTATCTCTCCTGCAAGGTAAGCGTAATGATCAGTATAGTCTCTTTTAACTACCGATACGACTTACCATTGCAACTGTCTTGACAATCATAGTAACTGGGAAACCTGTTTTTGTTCCCACTGCATCCTCCATAAATAAACACAGCACACGATCGGGCAGTATTGTTGAAAAACCAAGAAGGCATGAAGGCTTCGCACGGTCCGGGATCTGGGGGCATGTGACAGCTGTTTTCAGCGACTAAAATGGGAAAAATAATACGATTTGAAGAATAAACTAGAGTTGGAGTCGGGGATGAATAAGTGGAGAAGTCCTCAGAAATCGTATTGGGATGGGACTCAATCATTGACAATTCGGGCTTCCACGATGAATCTCGAATTATCGAATGCCTTCTTATTTTAAGTAGCAAAGAAACTCTTTAAAAATAAACTATAAAAGGAACTTTTATCTTTGCAGCTCCTACTAGAATACATTTACGACTTTTCAACAACTGGAAGAGGCAATAAAACGTATACTGGCCAAAACATAAAATATTATCTACTTCTGACTGTTTTAAAGAACATACAGCATTAAGACGTTTAAAGCTGCAATCAGTAAAGACATTTTATCGATGCGCATAATAACCAATCGCAGCCTCATCGACGATGAAAAGGATCGACAATCAGATTTTGGCAAGAATGCAGGTACCTTCATAATCACAGTGAGGCTGCCCTTTTGTTCTTGTTTCTGGTTTTTCTAGTCCTTTTTTATCAACGCACCAGCACTCTTCTGTCGCTGAGTTACACTGAACCTGTTTGTAGGATCCATCTGCTTTACACTGTGGAATATAATGGTCCTGTTCATTGACCACAGCAGCCTCATTAAAACTACTGTGACATAATGACAGCTTTCGGTCTTTGATTGCTGACGAAAGAACAGAAGTTTACAAGTTAATATAAAACCGATAGACTGTCACGGCTTTGTTTTATTCCCGATGAGTTGTTATTCTTAGTAGTTTAAAGTAAATTCCCAAAACCAAAAGCACTTTTCAGTTGGTCCTTATGGAAAAAATGATATAACACTGGGAAAAGACAGAGAAAAAGTCATTTATGGCGGGAGCAAATAATTTTATGTTATTCAAAGAGGCAACAATCCTAAGAAGTCAAGAAGTCACTGTAGCGCAAAGCTTAGTTAAAAATATTTTACTTTACATGCACATTCCTGAACCAGTTGTAATTTGTACTTTCATGGGCCTCGATCACTATAGCGTCTTTAGTATGCGTGTTGTCTTAGTTCTAACCAAAACAATTACAGCCGATCTTTGCTACGTTTACACTTTTAAATTTTGCGCACGCTAAGACCATTTGTTATAGTGGGAAAAGATTCGATTGTCTAACCTGAGCAGTTAAGAGGTCCTCTAACTCGCGTATTCGTCAACTCGTTTCCATACTCATCCACGCACCAACAAAATCCAGTGGAGCCATGACACTGAGTAGCTTGGTATCCACCGTCCTCTCGGCACTGAGGAACATACATCCCAGGAGGAGGCTGTGGGAACGACTCTAATATTTCTTGAGTAGCCTGTTTGCAGGGTGGTTCCTTTTCTTTTGGAGCAAAAGACGTTCTATTTACATGTCAGTAGTACTGACTACAGCTTTGCTTTCCAAATGACCCATATTCTGGATTAATCAATAGATTTTAACCATTCGGGAGACAAAATCAAGAAAATTGGTTAAACTTTTCTTATCATTATTATTATATTTTTTTGTTAAGATTCTGTTTCCCGATGGGGTATTTTGAGATAACAATTGATTTTTTTTTCTAACAAGTTGGCAAAGTATTATTGACAAACATTACCCGATGGCGACAAATTGGAATGTTTGCAACCCGTACTTATCTTTTTGTACAGTTAGGATCGTTGGTTATTTCGTTCTGTGAATATCTTACCACAACTAGGTCTTCCGTTCTTGCGACTTCCCGGGACTTCATTTCCAAGTTCATCCACACACCAACAATACCCAGATGTCATGTGGCATTGCACTGCATTGTATCCCCCATCTTCTTTGCACTCAGGCACATGTAGACCCACCACTGGAACTCCTTTCAGTCCCAGGGCCTGGCGCCTCTGGATTTGGCAAGGACTAAGCCATGCTACAAAAGAAAACAATCATACAAATAGAAAAAAATGATCATATATATAGTCAAACCCCACTTTAAGGACACCTCAGTGTTTTGTCCCTGGGAAAAGAAAGCCCTAACATCTTCTCTAAATACAACCCGCTTAATACGGACACTTTGTCTGACCCCCTCAGGGTCAGTATCAACAGGGTTTGACTGTACTTCTTATTTACATAAGAAAAATAAATGCAAGAAAACCTAGAAGGAGAAAAGTAGGAAATTTTTTGTTAATTGGGCTGTGCTAATTAGCTTCAGCCTGATGTTATCGCTCATCATCATCGACAATAAATGCCTGTAGGATTGTAGGATATAGCTTTTCCTAAAGCTATATGACTCACCAAGCAACGAACAGTCAAACGTTTGCTTGGACCGTGTCCTGGGCAGTTCATTCCCATTTCTGTCAACACACCAGCACTCCCCTGTAGACTGAAGACACTGTCTTTCTTCGTATGAACCATCGGCCTTGCAATGAGGAACGAAATGCCCAGGAGGAGCGTTGTCCAGACATTCATCTTTACGTGACTGACAGACGGTTATAGTTTTATCTAACAAGCCATCAAAAGGACGAAAGAGGTTAGTGTATTGAAAAACTGACAGAAATAGAGCGTGCATTGGTAGGTGAAGTAAGAATTGAAAATATGGTTGCTGAAGTAACTTAAATAACACCTTTGCCATGGCTCAACGACGTAACTATGAGCGATTTTACTTTTCTTTCACAAACGATGAAATAGTCGTGTACGACAAAACGTATAGCGTTAGCAAAGGTCAATTAGCATTTTGTCTTTTCAAAAGCAATATAACATATTTTTATCCATGCCTGCCATAACAAATATCTGCCATGATATATCATTTTCGTTATTACACGCTACCTTTACCACGTGGCTATCAACTTGTTACAATGGTAATCATTCGAGCTTGCACAAGTTTTAAAAATAGAACTAAAAGCCTTGAGATATATTTTATTTCGCTCTTCGAGCCTCTTTAGTTAATATGCTTAATAGTTCATGTACGATACATTAAAATAGTTTGCGTGCTCTCCTGCGTCGTGTAAGCCAACAGGAGAGAACTTATCTCTTAAAGATTGCGCCGTCATGTGCGACGATCGCGCACGGAACGTGGGAATAATTCCATTCATTCTTAGAGTTAATCAGTGAGCCTTCTTTTCAAATTCAATCAAACGAAAGTCGAACCTGAGTGTGACTTTCTTCAGGAACTAGATACGCCTTTTCTTCATGTAAAAAATTCTTCATGGAAGAATTCTGAGTTTTACAAAAAAGTAACTTCCCACAGCAATTGCAACAATTAACTTACTAGACACTTTGCAGTTGGGCTTTCCCCATTGCCGAGTTCCCGCCAGTTCATTTCCCAGCTTGTCAACACACCAGCAGAAACCAGTCGCATTGTGACACTGAATCGGCTCATATGAACCGTTAGACTGGCAGCTTGCGATGAATACGCCGATGAGACTTCTACTGCGAATACTCAAATCCCTCTTGTTTTCCAGCTGACATTGTGTCATGGTACCTTAAAGGCATATTAAGGCAATGATTACTGACATTAACTACATATTTAAAAGACACAGAATTTACAATTTCACTATTTCAGGTATCATTTCTACCGCTTTCTCGTGATTCAAGTACCTTGCTTCTTGCAATTAGGTTTTCCATGTTGTCTTGATCCCGGAATTTCATTTCCTTCCTCGTCCACACACCAGCAAACACCAGATCGTCCACACTGCAGTTGCTCATATCCTCCATCAGGTTTGCATTTTGGGAAGAATCGACCCATTGCTTTGAGGATGGGGCACGAGGAGGAAAGCGACTTTGCGTGTTCACTGACACAGTCTGAGGTTGCAACTAGTTTTTGAAAACACGAAAAGGCAGATAAGTCCATTATTATGAACACTTAATAACCAAAAAGAAATAATGAGATTTTTTAATCTACGTTGTTGAAAAGAAGTTACCAGGATATTATTTTTCTCTATTCTCAAACATAAGCGCAGTTACCACTATAGATCTTTTTGACACACCTTCACTGAGACTATAGTAGTCTCCAATCTAAAGTCTCTCTAATCTAAATTTTCTTACCTGTTTCATTCAAAGAAACAAATGTGCAACGCCTGACACATCCACAATCACAACATTTGGAAGATCCGGTACAGTCGCTATCTTGAGAGCATGTCTGTTCAGTCATTTCTGCTGGGCATTTAGTTGGATCTGAGACATACGGGCACACGCCGGGACGAACTATAAAGAGTGCAAAGTATTTCAATGTGGCAAAACTTATTTTAGGCAAGGTTAAACTTGAGCCAAGGGATCAGTAAGGCTAAGGGATCAGTTCCCAAGCTCAACTATGGGCGATGACTTTAAATTATGTTTCCCTGTTACTTACACAGGCGAAGTGTAATGGAGTAAATGCACTTTTTTCCGGTTCCTTCGTTAGCTACTTGTATTGATATTCTTTAGCTATAAATATTCCTGATTTATGTTTAAACTTTGAGTCATGTCTTTCAAAAAACTGTTAAAAATGTAAGGTCAATGGCAGTAGAAAATATATAATACTCAAAACCACAAGGAAGATAAACCTTTATAGTAAAAGACACAATTCAACAAGACATATCATGCAGTTGCTGAAGTTATGTCGCTTGCCTTAAACTAACGAAAGCGGACTTCAATTGGCTTTGAGCAATGAGGTAAAGATGGATTCACTCGCCTTCAACTGGACATTGCGGCGTTCCCCAGCGATGTGTGCCAGCAATTTCATAACCATTCTTGTCTGAGCACCAGCAGAAGTCTGTGTTTCCAAAGCACTGCATCTGTGAGTACTGCCCATCTGGCATGCACTCAGGGACAAACCTTCCAATAGATGGAACGCCCGCCAATTCCAGAGCTCTGCGTCTTTCTTTAAGACATGGCGTAAGTTTACCGAAGGCTAATAAAGTAAAATAACAATAATAATAAACTACGGCAGCCCTTTTCTGACAAACATTTGAACTAGTAAAATTGCTATCAAATGCTAAATTATAAGAAACCATAGTTCAGTGGTCCATACTGAATTTAATTTGGGTAGTTACCCGGTAAATTAAATTAATACATTTAGGAACAAAAAGAAACATACCCGTTGCCAGGCTACACATTGGTATGCCCATGACTCGAGTACCCTCCATCTCTTTGCCGTACTCGTCAACACACCAGCAGTATCCTGTCTGGCCGTAACACTGTACGTCTTCATATCTGCCGTTGGGTTTGCAATTCGGAGTAAAATGGCCTACTTGTAGGGCGAAAAGGCGTTTTTCTTCAGCAAAACAAGATGGAAGAACTCCTGTGTAACAAAAAACAAAAAACTTCTTGGGTTACATTTTATATACGACTAAATATAATACACGTACAGAATTAGGGCAAATTACTGCAAAAATGACATTATAGAGATTTAGAGTCACTTATAAGGCAAACGGCAAACTTGAATTTGTACCACGTGACCAAATTTTCCCTTAATTTGTGCTTTAATGTTGATTACTTCTACCTCACATTTTGGACTTTTTTTAGCTGCACGTTTTCGATTTTGAGAAATTTCCAACTTGAATATGACGTTTGCCATTTGCCTTAAACGTCACTCTAAATCTCTCTATTTTTAGAATTAAAAGTCTCTGCGTAGACAACTAAGACTATAATTCTGTGTAACTAGAGGTAAAGCATTATAACCATACAATCAATCAAAATTATTATTTATTAAGTCAGTAATCAGTGTTGGAGATAATGATACGTTTTTGAATTATATCTACTCTTGCTAGTTTTTGTCATTATCATATTCGTTACTTTCACTGTCCCTTCTCCAAGGCAGAAGACATAAAGAGTATCTTCAAAATTACTTCTAAAACGACATCGCAGCCATCAGAATTCAATAATTTCTTAATAGTTTACTAAGAAACTGTCACCTTTGCAAGTGTCCATACACTTTTCATGAGAGGGAAAGTTATTGGCATTGCCTCCGCATCCACTATACACAAAAGAATGGCACTCTCCTGAGGCGGCATCAAAGTAAAACGCAGTTAAAGATCCAAGACATCCGAGCTGACCAGGTTCAGGAGCGAGGTTGCAAAGCCATTCTAAAACAGCACATATTAACAAAATTCAACCAGATATCAAAATTACCATGAAACTGAGTGAGAAAGTTAACAGAGTGGCTTTCAAGGAAGCCCAGTTAGACGTTCAAAAAGGTTGTACTGAATGCGTTCTAATTCAATAGCGGTTTGCTATTCTCTTTGAAATCTGGAGCGCTTTGCTGCAACTACCTTCGACAACCTTTTTTTTTTAAATTAGAACATGCCTATTCGCGTAAATTTGTCAGCGTCAAATGAAAATTAGATCCTGGTCACCAATCAAAAAAAATCGACAGAAATTAGCCCGTCGTTTATGGCGACCTACTGGTGGGCACCAGGTCTTAGCTGAAATTACTTTCTAAGAAATTTCCTGTCCTGATTGTGGTACAGTGTTACCCATCTTTGAAACCTTTGACAGCATTCAGACTTAGTTGAAGCCTACCTTTAGAATTCGCTTTAGTCTCATTCTTGATCACTTCTGTCAACATTTTGAACTCTGACGGAAGTGAGCTGAAATCATCCGCAGAAAAAACATTTCTGTAATCTGAAGATAGGTCCATAAGCTCCGAAACTTTCACCTCGTCACCAATAGCAAAAGCATAAATGAAGACACCTCTGTCCCGCAGACCTTGAGCAGAAGCTAACAATGGGGTGTAAGGACCCTGATTTTTCGTCTGACTGCTACTCGTTAACAGAACAATGACCTAGGGTTAACAAAGTCATTTTTAAGTACAATGTTATCTTTTTGATTGTTCAAGAGGATGAAAAAACCAGCTATAAACGGTCATGAACAGACATGCGATACAATATACCATCCATTTTCTTCTGTGCGACTTTCTTTCCCATGGTTGTTAGGGAGACTTTAACAACGCCACTTCGATGTATAGCTTCAGTTGTGATAGCGATGGAAAGTCACTGACTCCTCACGTTGCTAGAGAACACCATCTTTTCGAAGAAATTTCAAATTTTCAAACAAGTGTTTCAGAATGCTGTTTCAGTGTCAATACCAATCGGAGGAAGCACTTATTATGAGTTCTTGGTATGAATTCAATCTGACGGTACATCAGGTTTTTCTCTGCTATTTCAATTTTAAGATTTTGCTACATTAATACGTGCAAAAAGTACGTTTCTCACCTTGGGTATTTCGATTCTCATTCCATTCGCCTCGTTAAACAGTTCCTCCTCGGTCAGTTGCATTGCTACATCGAATCGACTCGACCCTTGAATAGGCTTTAGTTTGTCTAAAACTTTCTGCACATTTTCTTTTGTGAGGTTGTTCTCCTGTAAAGTGTTGAAATACAACGGAATTTCTGCATCGCGGCTGAACACTACAATACCAACATGAGTTTCGCTGGTGGAAATTTTAAAAGAAGCGACGATTGAAGACGCTAAAGCTTTCATTTTTGTCCAGTTCTTGGCAACAGCTGTATCAGAGGCATCAATTAGAATACCAAGGTCAAGGGGAGTTCCATGTTCTAGAGAGAAAAATAAATCAAGGGAAAATAATATGGGGTTTTTATCTGACGATTGTTACCTATTGATTATTCGTTAAAAATTTATCTCAGTTTCTGACTAGGTAAAATCCCCAGGCCAATTCTTCATAACCAGCTAGCAATGACTAAATAGTTGAATACGTCTACGGTATCCGGTAAAGGTACAGACTATCGCTAGAAAAAGGGACGGCGACCGAAAAGGTCGCCTCCTATTACCTTAATTGGCCAGGATAAGCGCCTGTTTGCCGAGCGGGAAGTCGCGGGTCTAAACCCCAGCGGGATAAAAAGGGCCAGGAGAATGTGCCGCCATCTATGTTTTGATATTTAACAACTATTCTTTGAAATCGAGGTGAATAGCGGCAAAATATTTACCGAGCCGCGAAGTGGCGCGGTAAATATTCCTAAAGCCACTATTCACCGAGATTGAAAAGAATAATTGTTTTAGTGTATACACACGAAGTGATCTCAACAAAATCAGGGAGGAAACCATTAATGTCACTATTCCGCTTGTAAGATACGCATGCAAACGTCACGCAAATAAATGACGCACGCAGGCTAAATAAACAACAACTACATGATGGCGTAATGAGGGGGGGACACAGCTCTGTGGCAGGTTATAGCGACTTCGGGTTATGCGCACAAAATAACACAAGCCTTACTTATCGCCCCACTACCGTGGGGTAGGACAAGAATCTTGGCAGAGCCTTTCTTATCTCCCCATCGCCGCACGGGCTGGATCGGACAAGATTAAGGCAAAGGAATAGCTCAAAAGATGGCAAGACACAAGCAATGCCAAAAGCTTGGGGGAAGTCGCAACGCAGACTTAACCGCACCACAGGGAGTGACCCACCAAAATTTATTGAGACATAACAAAACAACAACTCCTCCAAAGGGAGGGAGGGCGGGTAACAAAACTACTTTAAATGATTGCTTTCGTGCAAGCTAACCAAATAATGACTAGGAGTGGCATTGGCAAAGCTTTATAGTCAGACAGTGTCTCAAAGTACGGCCAATAGGCACAGTTGTACTATAAACTATCTCAACTTATCATGATTAAGGTCTAGCCATGAATAGCTCTGAATAGGGCTTTGAAAACAGGGACCAATCTTTGTGAAGCTAAGAAAATACACGATGACAAACATGCGACAAATTAGTGAGGTTCTAGCCATGAAAAGCTTTTGTTTTCTGCTTAAAGAATAGAGTGCTTTCATTTAATGAATCAGGCTTTCAAGATATCACCGAGCCTAAGACGGGGCAGGCTTTCTCAGCCTACCCCCCTGGGGCTTCATGCTCCATTAACTGCATTTACCCGCTGGTAAATGTCTCATTAAAAAGTACGATTTGATTGACAGATCAGGTCAGCTAGACACGCAACAGTTTAAAAATAGATCTTTGTAGAATTTTCAAACATGGCAATTCACAAGCTTATCACTTCGCAAACAACAGCGTAATGACTTAAATGGAACCGCTAAAAGTTTGAATTGTTTCCTTACCTGAGAAGAAAAGAAGAGCTTTGTTGTTTTCTTTTGACTCGCCAAGTTTATAGCCGAAAATTAAAAGGTTTGTTGTGTCGTTCTTCGCATAAAGTGCTGACAAAAATGGCGATTCGGTTCCTCGAGGTAAGACATCGTCTTCATGTAGCATTATTTCTCGTGTTTACTTGAAACGTAGAATTTCTGAAAACATTTGCTTTCAAATTTGTTTGTCATAAATAAACTTCGTTTTTGGGCCAAATTTTTCTTGTTAGGAAACGCTGAGTTCACGAAACGGCCTCTTCTAGGCGAATTAACGGGAGTTGTAAACAATCGATCGACCACAAAACTCAACAACAGAAAATGGAAAAACGCCGTTTTGAATCCTTCGAAGTCTTTTCTTGCCTGAAAAAAAGTCAACCCTAGGATTTTGTCGACTTTTAAAAGATCTTTCTCTAAGAAAATGGGAAAAAAAACGAGCTCACACATTAGGGACTGTGCAATAATTATCAGGAGGGGGGGCTGAAAAACTAGAGGGGGGGCATTACATAAAATTGCTGCCAAGATAGGGGGGGCTCAAAGTAAAATCACTCATTTGACGGAGGGGGGGCCTTAAGTTTTATTCGAAATGTAAATAAAATTAAACGCAATAAAAGATTCTCAATACAGGCATCATGATAGACTGTAACAAATATCAATACGAACAGCTGTTAAACGATTATTGAAAATATTCCATCAAAATGAAAAGCAAATTCACAACTGATCAATTTTAACCCGTCTTCTAATTAATTGAGCTGATCCTATGTAAAGCAAAAGTCATGAACTTGTTTTTCAGCTTCCCCCATAAAACAATGGGAATCAAACAGATCTCGTAGACAAGCTTTGTCGGTTTTTTATGTGAATAAAAGTAATGTTTCTTTATCGACTGAATCGATTTGCTGAATTCCATATATATCTGGCTCATAACAAAGTTGAACAGGCTCTCCTCCCAAGGATCTAAATATAATGCAACCTCTTTTTCGTCTGTTATTTGAAGCGTTCAATCTCCTGTTCTTTGATTTTTTCTCTGTTCCTTTCTCTTTCTGGCTTCAAAAGTTTTAGATTTTGAGGTAATGTGGTAAGCACCCCGGTACTTAGCAAATGCTTTGTCTAAATCTTCAATCAAGCGATCAACATCCTTCTTGATACTAGATGTTACATAATAACTTTTGTCATTATTGAAGCTGTGATGGCAGCTCAGTCCAGTTTTTAGTCAGTGTGGTGGGAAGTGAAGGGGGGGGTGCGGCGTTATTTTTAACATAACAGAGGGGGGTTAGAACTAATTTTTTTGTTTTGGAGGAGGGGTACTGTCTGAGTTTTTGCTAGATAACTCTAGTTTTTCAGCCCCCCGCCCCCCCTCCTGATAATTATTGCACAGTCCCTTATCCACTCGCTAGGAGGTGAATATTGTTGAATAGTCCGAGATAGCGAACCAATCAGATCGCTTAAATCACCAAGATCACTGAGTGTGTATATACTAACTAAAAATAGTCTGACATTCCTGTTTTGGGGATAACGACGAAAACCGTGATCCCGTCTCACAGCTCCTTCACTGGTCTTATTCTTGTGGACGTTAAATAACCCGTATCGCTGATCGTTAAGAGTAGATGGAGGTAGACCCCGGTGGTGTGTACAATCTATCAACGCTAGCTGGGTGGGTGATGAAGGGCTTGATGTCGGTTGCAGTGACGCAAGCCCTGTTTCATTCCAAGCACCGTGTTGATTCACCGTGGCGAATTTCAATTTCAGTATTTGAATGATCGTTTGGGTGGACATTCGTATGTTATAAACAGTCAATGGTATTCAAAGGCAATCATTGGAGAATTCTCTCAGTCCATTTATATGATACAATAAGTCTTTTCACCGAAAGCTTGTGCCAATTTTGTCTGTCATTTAAGGAGTAAGGAATAGTCTGTTACCTGTCGGAAGTTTTGAACACCGAGGTCTTGTCCACTTCCTAGTTCCCAGGATCTCACTTCCATGTTCATCGACACACCAACAGAGGCCAGTGTAACTATGGCACTGAACTTCGTCGTAGTTTCCATCAGGTTTACAGTGCGGAACGAAGGTACCCGGGGGTGGATTCCCTGCCAAACCAAGGGCTCGACTTCGATGACTTTGACAATTGGTTATATTCACTAAAAAAGATATTATATGATTAATAATTATTCTAGAATATGAATGTATGTACTTACCATAAATAATTCCTTAGAGTAGGGGTCAGAAATTCAATGACTGCCTAATTTACTCAATTTACCTGAGGAAGAATGTTTTGATACACAAGTCTGTGGTGGTCAAAGAAGAAAGAACTGTAGAGGCTCTAAAAAGACAACAATATGGCCTGAATGAGCCCGCTTTAGTTTAAACGATGACAGGGTGTTCAATGGGGAATTTAATAGTGGAAATTTCCTAGTTTTTATGGAACAGACACGCTTTTCTTTTCACTTCAACGTTTTCTGAACTTTTACCCTGTCACGATTTTCCAGCTACTGTGGGTTGAGCAATGCTATCGGAGCCTTGCATGCAATTGAGTAAATGCAGTTTAATTTCGAGTTATCTTATACATTTATTTACCTGAGCAGTCTGGTAATCCACGAGTCACAGAGCCCCAAAGTTCATTGCCATTTTGGTCCACGCACCAACATTGGCCGGAGCTCACGTGACATTGCACTTCATAATACCCGCCGTCTTCCCTGCATCTCGGTATAAAGTTCCAGGAATTTGGTCCAGCTCTTGAAAATTCTATGGCCCTTCTCTGATGCTTCTGGCATGAAGTAAGATTCTCTACAAAAGGACATTTTATACTTTAAAAAGTGACGAAAGAAATCGCATTCAAAAGCCAATAGTGAAAATATATTTTTGAGCTAAAAAAATTTACTGATAACACAGCAGATGCCAGAGGAATTTGACATAGAACCTGTGCATGCTGAAGAAAACGAATAACTCTCTTGTTGGTCAGAGAAGCTACAGAACAAATCCTTGTATAATCCTGGCACCAGTTGTTCAAATGGTGGATAACGCTATCCACTGGATAAGTCTCCATCCACTGGGTAGCGCAATTGGTTTCCCTAATACTTATCCGCTGGAAAGTGATCTGTCTGGTGGATAGTGCTATCCAGCGTTTGAACAACCCGGGCTAGGAAAATCAAAGTACCTGCACCGCATCTAATGACTCTCTCAGTCCTTGTTGTTTCTATTTCTCTACCATCTCGGTCCACACACCAGCATTGTCCAATCGCAATGTCACACTGTACTTCTTCATACGTCCCGTCAACATTACAACGGGGAACATGTTTTCCAGGCATCAACGGAAGATGGGAGCGACGAGCACGTTCACGTTGACAAGGCGTTACTATAAATCCACGAGATGCTTTAAATCAAAACAAATAATACTGTTAAGTCTATTTTGTTCGCTTGTTATTCTTGATCTTATCCCTAGGGTATGTCACTCTTAGGCCTGTTTCAAACGTCGTGCTACTGCCGTGCTAAGCTGGCTCGACTGTAGCTCGACTGCAGCACGACATTAGCACGACTTGGTTTCAGACGTCGAATTTAATTCAGTCGAATAGAACGGCTGTTGCCGAAAACAAAGCACAAAAATAAAGAAACGGTTTGGCAAACTTTAAAATGTATTCTAATGTATTTATAATTTATGAATTGAGCTCGGAACGGCAGTGGCGCGACGTTTGAAACCAAGTCGAGTCGCTGTCGTGTAGCACGGTAAGGCTTGCCGTGCAACACGGCAGTAGCACGACTTGGTTTCAAACGTCGCGCTACTGCCGTGCTAAAGTCGAATTTAATTCGACCAATTGAGTTCGGCACGGCAGTAGCACGACGTTTGAAACGGGCCTTACACTGGTGGCTAATAGAATGGTTTGTATTTAACAATAAGATTAACCGCACCTGTCATCATTATTTTAATATTTAACATACAGTCAGTTTATTTACGACGTAATTAAGATCTCGTTCGCGCAGTTCATCTTTGTTTCTCCGGTTTAACTTTTGACCTATGAAAATACCTGCAAAAAGGCAAGGCTCAGTTTCTTAGCCTGCGTGGAAAGGGGATTTTGGGCTCGTGAGAAGCCCCAATTCCCTTCTCCTTCCTGTTCTAACGCCTGCCACGCAGGGTAGTTTCTTAACGTTCACTGCGAAATGTGCGCATATACGATTTGCGAAAGAGAGGGGACTAAAAGCGAAAAAACAATAGCGCGCTGCATTCATTGTTACGTTTGCCGCCTACATCATATAAATTTTAGAGAAAATGAGCATCGTGTGAATTCTAAGCAACCAATGGTTGAAGCACGATTATAGAGTATATGCATGACTGACCCATAATTTTATCGGTTGAACTGGAATTAAATGTCCCGAGAACAACAGGCATCCTGCGCCATGATTTTTTGTCTGTTTAAATCATTGATTTACTTACTAGCTGCATGGCAGTCAGGTTTACCAAGGGTCATATCAACGCTAGTGCCAGACACCTCATCACCCATTTTGTTGACACAGAAAAACTGAGACGATTGAACCTGTAGAGGAGAGAAGCTTCCGTCAGGCCTGCACCATGGAACATGGGAGCCTGGAATGCCACTTTTAATGTTTTGTTGATAGCGTTTCCAGCATAGAGAATCAGTCTCTGCAACGATGGAGGGATAAAATGTATCATCCTGTGACAAAAAAATCATTCAAAAACTAATACAAGCGCCCCCTACTGCAACAAAGAATTGAGAAAACGAAACCCCACCCATCCTATCATCACTAATAATCAATGCCAGGGTATCAAAGCAAAGGCTATAAACATAACGTACGGTTCAGCGGAAAAACTACCTTACCTATGCCGGAACACTTGACTATTTGGTTTGTTGCTGTTAAATTTAGCTGTTTACCGCCTTTGTCCAAGCACCAACACAACCCAGAGGAGTTTTGACACTGTAGTTCTACGTAGTTACCATCGTATTTACAATTTGGAACAAACCGATTAGGATCTGTTGACCGGGATATTGACTCTTGCAGAAGCTTCTGGCACTTGGTCAAAGCCATTCCTAATAAAAAGCACAAAAATTAAAACATTCCAGAAGAAACCACATGCAGAAATCGATCTGAATTACTTTTTTTGAACAAAAAGTCTAGTGTAATTGCCTACTCGACACTCTCTGGGGAGGCACGAGCGATGCCTTTTAATTTTAGATCTGCCTGAACTGAATTCCACAACCCTTTACCGTTTCATGGACTTGTTACATGTTAACTCAGATGACGCAGAAAATCGCCATTGACAAAACTTACAGCTGTCACCATCACAGTGAGTGTAGCAAGAATTTGTCTCAAACAACAACAAAAAAAACTTGTGATGATTATAGCTTATGTGTCAACAGTTTTCCTATTAATTTAGTTTATTTACTTGGCCAGGAACAAGGGGGCTTCCCTGTCGCAATATTCCTTCTTGTCTGTGGAATCTGAGCTCCCTCTTGGTCAACGCAAAAGCATTCTGATTTATGACACTGAACAGATTTAAAGGCCCCTGTTTTACTGCAATGAGGCTCAAATAGATCCGGCTTTGGATGTCGAAGATAGTCCTGAAAGTGCTTTTGACAAAAAGTGAGGGCGTGGCCTGCAATATAAGATCAAAAGATCAAAGGTAAACAAAAATGGTAGAGCACTTCCAGAGACCTCTATGTAAAGGGATTAAAAAACACATTTTTGTTTAACAGAATAAATAGGTCAGAATTGGACAAATACTTTAAGCTTAAGGGAGGAATAAAACAAGTGAAATCACATTGAGGTCCACATATTAAACCGTTCATTCTCCTCATTTACTCCTCTAAGTCTTGGAGCAGTGTATGAACCATCTTAAAAATACATATACTGTGTTTCGGAATTGGCCCATTGCTAATGAATGATGTGCTGTCCATTCGTTGATATCCCTCCTCGTGAGCAACAAAAAAAGTCGGTTAATTTTGTCCGAGGTAATTCCACAGTGTAATTTCAAAGAGAAAAAAGACAAAAAGGATCACCTCCAGTGTGACACTTTGGTCTTCCTTCAGTGATATCTACTCGTGTTCCCGCATATTCTACTCCATTTTCGTTTACACAGTAGCAGTAGCGTCCTTGGCATTGCACTCGTTCATATCTTCCATCGTGTGTACACTGAGGTATATAAGGACCTGGTAAAATCCAGCTTCTGAGAATTTCTTGATACTCCTTTTGGCACTGAGTTAAAGGAGAAGCTGTGGAATGAAGAAAATACAAAAGAAGTCAAAATAGAGCTTCCGATGGGTTTATGTTGAGTCGTAAATGGAGGTTTTCAAAAACGTATCGAAAACAAAGATTTATGTAATAGCTTAATGTCTGCGCCATAACGAATTAAAAATGTCTGATATCTAACCTGCGGAAGGACATTTGAGGTCACCAGTGGTCCGCGTTCCAAAGGTTTCCTGCCCGTTTTCATCTACACACCAACATTGCTTTGTAGCTCGAAGACACTGGATTTTTTCAAATCTACCATCACGTTTGCATGTGGGAATGAAACGAAAAGGACTGGCGGGAAGTTTTAATGCCTCGCTGTGCTGTCTTTGGCAAATGGACAGAGGCTCTGTATCTGCCCAAAAAACTTACAAAATGAGCTTTTTCAACTGTTACCTAAAAAATATAACTACCAATGGTCCATGCAAGTTTTCATTTGGGGTTTGACCCAGCCCACTTGATTGCATAGTTAGAAATAAATAAAATAATAATAATAACAATAACTTTCAAGTTATTCCATGACACTTCGATCCCACAGATTGACAACCTAGAGGCTCTCATCTTTTCGGGAACGTTATCCTTGTTATAGTGGAAGTGTTAATGTTTCCGTTTAGTTAACCGGCAACAGCCCCGGGGTTATAGTACAAACTGAATCCCTTCAGCCAATACGACATTCACCTCAAGGAAAACATCGGGAATTGAAGGGATTTCCAGTGAAAGAATGTATTTAGAAGTGGGAGAACGGATGGAGAATGTCAAATTTTCTAGGACTTGCCGTTTTGTAGAATTAATTATTGGTAAATGAGGGTTTTCTGGCTTGTTGTGGGCTCATGCGTGTGGCATGACTTTTCGATTACTTTATGTTTATTACTAATGAATATGCTGTCAATGAATAAGGTACTCAGTGCATTAAAAAACAAACTATACAATCAACATACACACCTTGGAGGTCACAGTTAGGTTTTCCGAGTCTAACTGGCAAAGAAGTTCCCTTGATCTCATTTCCTTCTTTATCAACACAAAAGCAGTCGAGTCCTTTGCATTGTGTAGGCTCAAAAGTGCCATTCCTTTTACACCTTGGAATCATCAGTCCTGGAAGCGGATTCTTTGCATAATCTATGTAGCGCTTCTGGCATGAGGTCAAAGGACTGACTATTGATTTAAATTTAAAAAATTATCCGCGTTGATTTTTAATACAAGTAAGAAACAACACAATGAATGCTGCAGCCCATACATTTCAAATTAAACAACTCCTCAATAACAGCACGGTGCCACATAAATTCTACAAAAATGATCTGGATTTTGAGCCTTGTGATTTGTTAGCGCTGATGAATAATTTTTTTTTTTTTTTTTTTGAGATATCAATTTTAGTTGCGAAAAATCAATACCACCCATCTATCATTGCCTCATCCTTGTCTGTCCCTCAAGAGTCAAAGCTAGCTCTTATGGCCAGGCGTTTAAATTTATCCAGCGCCTTCCGCGCAACACCAGAAAAGACCTTATGATTCGTTTCTCATCTTCTATCTTAATTCAAAAAAGAAGCAGTAGCATTATGGCAAACTTACAGTACCACCATTACAAGCGCCAACTACCTTTGACAGGGCATTTTATAAGCTCAGATGACCTGGTCTTTGGAATCTCCTTTCCATTCTGGTCTACGCACCAGCACTGGCCACTAGAGGACTGGCATTGCACTTCCTCGTACCGTCCGTCTAGTTTACATCGAGGTATAAACAGATTTTGGGAAAGCTGAAATGGAGCCTTTCGATATCTACGCTGGCAGGAAGTTACTGCCCCACCTGAGAAACAAGCGAACGAAGAGACAGACAATTCTGTAAACGAATAAATATTACACAAGGAATTGTTTCTACCATGAAAAAGAGTATGATGTTTATGTAGACTCCTACAAGGTACTGCATTCCTCTAACTTTTCGCTACTTTCTCTAGTAATACGTATAAACAACAACAACGCATCGAGTACAGGTCACGCCCCCTATTTTAAATTGTGTCACTGTAAACATTATGTAATTTACCTAATTTGCCGCAGATACTCTGATTTTACCCAATTCCATCGATGGCTCTCTCTGGCAAAATGCAGATAGCCTTCACCTAAAATAGATAAGTGTAATTGTATACAGGGACAGTCAATCATAGCTTACTGATGTGTGTGCAGACAGGTCTACCCGCAGCGACACTAATCCTTGTTCCAGGCTGCACATTTCCATTTTCGTATACACAGTAGCAGTAAGAGCCGGAACACTGCATCGGGTTGTAAGACCCATCTGTTCGGCACCATGGAAGATGTCTGCCAGGCTGTGCGCTCCTTAACAAATTGACCAACCTCCTTCTGCAAGGGCTCAGCTTTTCTGCAAAAGGTAAAACGAAAAAGAAGTAAGAATTGTTATAGATACAACAAGATGTCATGTTAATCGCTAAGTTGATACACACTAAGTATTATGCCACGCATTGAGAAACCTGGCACTGTAAGTACATGTCGCAAAAACCAATAGCATTCTCGGCGATGCACGCAAGCGTTGAGTGAACTCTTGACCAAGAGACAGATCAATCGATGGAATGACACTGACAATTAAGGGAGTAGCCAGCCGCTTAGTCTTTGAGCTGCAGTTAGTTACATTTGTCTGACCCTAGTGGCTTAACAGTAAAAATGAAAATGGGTAAAATGAAGTCCACGAAGTAAAAAAAACAAAACAGGACAAAACAGAAAAACAAGAAAGGCAGATTTCGTGAAAACGGCCCTGGGTTCAACCGCATGTTTCAAATGAGACTGATGAGTGCTTTATGTGTAAAAGCTTTATGGTGGAAATTAAGAAAAGGAAGTATCACGAACCGAAAGCGGGTGTCTTTTCTGATTTATTACATCTTGTACCAGGGACCTCTTGTCCGTTAGTGTCCACGTACCAACAATTCTTTGAGAGGCGTTCGCACTGTATCTCCGACCAGCTTCCGTCAGGTTTACAGAAAGGAACATAACTTAGGGAAAAGAAAATCGCTTCCCGACGCTTTTTCTCACAAGGGCTGATGTTGGCATCTGAAAAGGGAATCAAGACGGCGTTAATAGTACTTTTTTATGTGGCCATTGACGCGTTGCTGTTGCAGATTTCCAACCAAAATGCGCGGCTTGCTTCAATATTCAGACTTAGAAAGGGAAATATCTAATTTTAAACCTCTGCTCAGATTTATCAAGTGCATGTTCATGTAACTATGTTATCAGTGTCAGATAGTCATTTGAAGTAACCAGATGAGAGTATTAGCGGGCATATTCCGATTGCGTTTTTGGATTTCTACTAATGTCACTACGTTTTCTTACGAACAGCATCGTTCATAAACAAAGCGACTGAACCAATGTTGTTAAGTGTTTAGTCAAAAGGTGAAAAACTGACAACAATTAGATTCATTAAAACCGTTCAATAAAAAAAAAACAGTTACAACAAACTGCTTTATTTCCGCCTATAGGTTTTAATATACCTGGATGAGAGCAGTTTGGTTTTCTGGCAGAATTAAATGTCTTGGTCCCAGGAATCTGTTCTCCTCGTGGAGTAACGCAATAACATAATCCCCCCGTGCACTGCACTTTGCCATAACTGCCATCTACAGCACAACGAGGTACATAGCGGATTGCGGATTGGCGACGAAGGTTCTTCTGATATTCCTTTTGACAAGCAGATAACTGATTTCCTGACGATAGAAGAATATTCTTAAAGCGGACACTTTTTAGGACTACTGCAATGCAAGTGCGGAGTACAAACTTGACCTGCCATCTGCACCTTCATTCTTCCCGAACTTCTTTTCCCCATTTGGAAATTCGAAGGATTTTCATTTCCCTTTCATTTATTTATCTTTCTTTTTTGGACGAAGGAAGAAATTTCAAGCAAAGGACTACGCCCAACAATCTCTTTAAATGGTTTCAAATTTAGGCGACGACCCTTGGCAAAACGATTAGTTATACTACGACCAGGATCTCATTTGAAATCCATACGCTGATAGGACTCATCGATAGTTTAGGCTGTCAATCGTTCGACCTAAAAATATACTCAAAAACACTTGTGGAAGGAATTCGAAAGAAGATTTCGGATTACAGGTATTAAACTCCGTCAACCGTCAAAGCAGAAACCCTATCAAAAATCCTCACACGGGCCTACGCTGTAGTTCTAACAATAACAGCACTGTTAATATAAAAGTGAGAAACAAACCTAGGCCGTCACACCTCAGAGGCCCTTTGGACCTCGTTCCAGTCAACTCATCGCCTTGTTGATCCACACACCAACACTCGTTGCTGGCACCATGACACTGAACGTCCACGAAACTCCCATTGAAAGAGCACTGTGGAACGTAAATGTCCTTTGTAGGATTGGTAATGGCTTCTTCATGCATTCTTTGGCAAAGTGTGAGGCCATGACCTAAAACAAGCGGACATAAAACAGCAAAACAAGTTTACTTTCGAAACAATTACGGAAGACGTAAATCGGCATTTAGAATTAAAGCGTAACGTGGTTACAATGAAAACGACTTTAAATCATGGTTACTAGCCGAAGCTAATCACGCGCAGTGCGCGCACGCTAGAGAAATTATCATCTTTCGTATAGTATTTGCTTACCTGTACCGTGGCATCTAGGCTCTCCATAAAGCGTGATGATGCTACTGTCCTTTACAACTCTCCCAGTTTCCGTATCAACACAGAAGCACGTCATTCCACGACACTGAATCTTCTCGAAGCTTCCATCTTCTTGACACCGAGGAGGTTCTCGCTTTGGTTGAAGACTTCTGGAATTTGTTATGTACTGTTTCTGACAAAGCGTTAACCTTACGCCTATAATTGAAAAAATAACAAAATTGAGAACAAAACAATCCTTATTTGCCATGACAAATAGTGGCCAAACTAAGGTTATATGAACGTCAATTTTCACCAGTAAATTGACATTTTGTGAAAGTTTGAGTTGAAAGGTTGAATTGATTTCTTCATTTGGTGATTCTAATAATTAAGGGTCAAAAATACTCCCCATCCACACCCCAAGCAAAATCCCCTTTTTCACAACTATACTAAGGTTTCATGTCTAAAAAGAGAATGATTACAATTCAGTAAACGCTAAGCTTTAATTTGATACTAAGGAAACTATATTCTATGTGGGTGTGCAACGAAATTGCATTTTTTTTTTCATAGGCTATAACTAGAAATCGTGCCCAAACGACGTCTTGGTAAAGGAAGTGACGTTGAGATAGTTATAAACATACGCAGATAAAGCCGTATACAAACCGAGTGAAGGACACTTTAAAGGTCCCCTAGTCTTTGTTCCATTAAGTTGGAAACCCTTCTCATCAACGCACCAACAGAATCCAGTTGATCCACTGCACTGCACCTCTTCGTAACTGCCATCTTGCTTACACCGAATTAAATGTGAGTCACCAAAAGGAAGACTATTGGAATTCTTTTGCGCCTTCTGGCAGGGAGTAATAACACCTTCTAAAAAGGGGATGAAGACAATTAGAAATGTATGGATAGCAATAAATTGCCATATGTAAGGGCCGTGCAGCTTTTATAAAGGAAAAGCAGCATTTTAACGGTCAAATTTGGTTGAAACTACTTCCTGTGGTTTGGAAATAAATTATTCGATATTTGTGATACGCTTAGAATTTACCTCAACCATACGTTACCTGAACGTCTGAACAACACCCATTGCACTTGCGTAAATAGACTACGAGTAGTCCCCCATTTTTCCTCAGGGATAGTAGAGCGAGCGAAACGCGAGCGCGCGTGAAAATCATTTGTCTCTCTCCCCGCCGCGTGTCGCCTTTTCTCGCGTGGGGTGATTTTCACGAGCGCTCGCGTTTCGCTCGCTCTACTATCCCTTGAGGAAAAATGGGGGACTACTCGTAGTCTATTGCGTAAAAGAAATGTGATAACCTTGATACAATGCAAAAGAGCAAAGGAAGATGAAACTGAGCGAAAACCATAACCTAAGCCAGCTATTCTTGAAGTCAGTGGAAAAGAACTCATTTACTGATTCTATAACTTCAACTGCTGGAGATTGGAAACTACTGATTACTTGTTATTATTCGTATTATGTGGTATCAAGCTCTGTCCCTTTACCAGGAGGTGATTGTGATTTACAGTTGAGAGAATGATGCCGAGGAACCCGTGTGCCAACGATTTCTTCACCGCCTTCATCCACACAAAAGCAAACTGATCCATGGCACTGCATCTCCTCATACTCTCCGTCAGGCCGACATTTTGGTACAAAAGCACCCAGACGTTTACTACGTTTACCAGCAAGTTGTTGTCGTAAACAAAGGGTGTCTGCAAATCCAACACCTGCTAAGAGTGAATAGTTTGAAACATGTAAACAAAAAAGGTACCAATAATAAAGCCGTAATAGCACTCACGAGTAATTTAAAAACAAACAAACAAAATTGAAGCATATCGGGTTGGGCTCTTCGTCATTCAATTGAATACTTTATCTTTCAGCAGGGTTGACAAAGATGCTGTGATACATGGAAAGTCGCTATCGACATTAGTAAGTCTTATTTGCGAATTTTCAATTCGAAAGTTCCCAGCAGTACTTCTCATGTTTTGGACTTACCATGGCCCTTCCCAGCAGTACTCCTCATGTTTTGGACTTACCATGGCCCACAAGGGAGAACCTACCACCTCTCTGCAGAATTGCCAACAAGCAATTTAAAGAGCGATTTAATCTGATTTCTATTGTTCATTCTTGTAGTACTTGTACCTTCCTTATATAAAGAAGGTCCATCCAAACTTATCGCTACATTAGCAGGCGAAATCGGACCGACATCTGAACATCGATTTGTCATGACATGTGTCATGCAGCCAACTATTTCTCGACAGCGTGCAAAAACGATATAAAAATACGTTTAGTTTAGAGCCAGTTGAGTGCAAAGAGAGGATTTACGTACCCATACATCGTTGCTGACACTTTGCTTTGGTGCTAAATCTGTTAGCATTACCACCGCAACCCCCGTACACAAACTGCTCGCACCGTGATGTATTCGCGTTGTAAAACCAGTTTGGCATAAAGCCTCTACACGGGCCTTCGATCACTGGCAAATTGCAAATATCTCCAGCTGAAAGGAAAACAAAGGTTGAATTGATATGATCGTGAACTGCAAATAGTTAAGCAAAATTTTTAAATTTCTTATAAGGTTTACTTTATTTCAAAATATTTCATTCTATCTACAAAAAGCACAGTTGATTTTTCAATTTACGTAGCCAAATAGAAAATTGGCCAAGTGATGACAGCTCTCACTGGTAGTTGGGATTGACTTTGCAGTTTTTTGGTTAATCCGATAAATCTTTTTAAAACCATGTAAGGCACTCTATTTAATTTTCCACAGTGTTATTTACCTGCATGGTTGCAAGCAGAACTGCAAGCTTCTTGTGTATGGAAATTATTCTTGTTGCCACCGCAGCCGCCATATACAAATGGTTTGCAGAGTGCATCTTTGCCATCAAAGTACCATCGAACGTTGTAGAGTCTACAGTATCCAGAGTTTCGAGGCTTTAAACAGTCTTTACGAGGCATGATCTTTTTTTCGATGCTAGACGGTCCTACAATAAATACCAAATTAAATGCAACGTTTCGCAGCTGTCGCTAAAACATTTGACAACAACAGGGTTTACGGCATCCCGTCTTTCTCATAATTGGCAAGAGCATATATTTTCACTCTTCCTTCTCTCTCTTTTTTTCTCCTCCTTTTCTTTTTATTTTGTCATTTACTAAAGGCCCATTCTAAATACCATACCTATCACCGTCTCACAGTCAACAGGAGTCAAAGTCTATGCGAGCTAGCCAATGACATTATCGAATTGGGCAATCAAATTAACTATAGTTAAGGTTTAAAACGCACTGTGCATTATTATTTGCGGGAGATACTTTACAGAGCATTTTGCCTTAACTTCAAGCTTACCTTTTACAGTTACGTTTATTTCCGCCTCTGCTGTTCCAAATCCGTCGTAAGCCATGCATTTGTACATGCCACTGTCGTGCATGCCTACATCTAGGATATCTAACCTGCCCATACGTGGTACCATTCGGTCTGGCAAAGTTCGAAGTCCCACCTTTTGCCAAATGATGCTGACAGGAACTCCCTCAAATCGGCATGTAAGCTCCCCTTTTTTGTAAGCAGGGAGAACTTGCTTCTTCTTATGGGTTGTACTAACTGTAACCTTGTCCCCGTCTGAATACGAAAATCGTATCACGAAAAAATTATAATGATTAATTGATCGAAATGAAAAAATCATCTAGGAACACAATGTTCTAATTACGAAAATGGAAAATATTAAAAGTACAAGTCCTCTGGCTGAATTTTACGCCACTCACTCCTACAGTCAGTAATGAAATCACCATGGTAAATTATGGATGAAAACGTATGGTCTGATGATCTTGATGTTTTTTTTTTTGTTGGGGGGGGGGGGGGCGCCTATTTACCTGGCACCCCCTTTTTGTTTTCCTTTCTTTTTAAAAGAAAGTTTAAATTTTCTTTATTTGAAAAACTGAAATTTTTAGGTACCCTCCGAAAGGGTTCAAAAATAAATTATTAAACGTATGGTCTGATGATCTTGATGTTTTTTTTTTGTTGGGGGGGGGGGGGGCCCATATACCTGGCCCACCCCTTTTTTTTTCCTTTTTTTTTAAAATGAAGTTTAAAATTTTCTTGATCGACAAAACTGAAGTATTAAGTTCCCCCCCAAATGGTTTAAAAAACAAAAAATTAAAAAAAAAAAAAAAAAAAAAAAAAAAAAAAAAAAAAAAAAATAAAAAATAATTAAAAAAAAAAGATTATGATATTAATTTTATTGTTTTTTTTTTTTTTGGGGGGGGGGGGTGGCGCTCATATACCTGGCACACCGCTTTTGTTTTCCGTTCTTCTTAAAATGAAGTTTAGAATTTCCTTGATCGACAGAACTGAAGTATTAAGTCACCTCCGAAATGGTTATAAAATCAAATAATTATAAATCAAAGAATAAGACAAACAAACAAAAGCATAAAAAAGTAAAGTAAACGACATTCAATATTCAGAACTCCTAAGTCTTTTTTTGTCCAACTCGAATACTTTTTAATCACAGACTCACTAGGGACAGCCCAAACTTAAATTCCTAAATTTACGACACAATTGATAAACAATAAAAAATTTCCTTTTATTATCACAGTCTTAGTAAGTGACTTATTACCAAGATAACCATGAATGAGACTCACTTGACTGGCAATTTCCGTATCTCTTTATCGTTATATCTTTTGCTCCCAAAATACAGGCTGTTCTGTTCAGCTCGCATGCACTCTTATAAGGAATTCCATCGGTCCCGCAAACACGTTCTCCAGGAAGGGGAGTAGGGCATTTTGATCGACAGGAGCATCTCGGAGTATTGTATTTGTCAAGCACGCATATTTCTCCAGGAAACTTACAGATCTTTGGGGAACAAAGTGCTATAATAAAAAAACAAAAAATGGGTCATGCTAAATATCTTGTCTGTAAAAAAATTTCTTTGGGAGATATTTTCTTAAAGATTGTTACCTATTTGGCACTCTTCCTTAGTCATGAGCATTTCCGAATATGGGTTACATGTGGTGTAGTGGAAACAACATCTGCAAATAAACGAGGGTTGATTTAAGAAGATAACTTATAGAAGAAAGATGTTTTATTCATAGTGTTACGTTGTGGTACAGATTGGAACTTGCTACACCTTCAGTAAAAAAAAACACACACACACAGTCACACGCAAAAACAAACAAGCAACAACAAGCCGAGGAGAGTAGATCCTTTGGCTGATCGGGAAAAAGGAGTCAAAAATAGACAATTTTCTTATCAAGTTTTAGAGCCCCCTTGGCCACAACCTCATAGAGAAGGGCGACCCACACTACCATACAGGTACAGACTTTACAATCATCATCATGGTTTGCCTGTTGCACCATAGTTTAACATTTTAAAAATTAAAATACTAACGGGTGGTAACGTAAGCCATACCGTTTGCAGTTGCCTTTATAGCAGAACCTTATTCTTCCTGGAAGACAATTAGCATTGCCTTTATGTGATGCTATTTGGGTTTCATCTTTAGGGCAGGCATCTGAAGCAGTAAATTCATAAATACTTTTTTTTGTCGTATGCAGTAATGAACCCGTGAAGACACAATCAAAGCGACGTCCCTTGAATTAATAGCGTGTTTAAGGCTGGGTGGAAATGATACAGTAATTCAGTGCTAGTGCTCATAATTAGAAGCTTCTATCCAATAGAGTGGGCAAGTGATGAGGTAATGCTAAACCCACGACAAAAGTCAAATGCCCGTATTGAAGCCGATAGTCTCAAAATACGTTCTACAGGGATGAAACTAAAAAAGAAAAGTCAACCAAGATTAAGACGAGCATAAGATTATAATTAGTCCCCTTCGATATTAGGAAGTAACAAGAGGTCCCTTAGAAATAACGAAAAGATATATGAGTGTCTAAGAGAGTATTTCCTTTAATTACCTTCATCGGGTCGCATAGCCAATAGAGGTTCATAACATGATCGAGCTTCGCACGTGCTCTTACAACACTTCTGAGTACTAGAACAGTCTCCATCCCAGTTGCATTGTTCAAGTGACGAACAGTTCCTTATCAAAGTCCACGACGGGCATCGTCCTTCCTTGACAACTTGTCTCCTGAACCGGTCAGCAATCCTTAATCTGTTCTCTGACGCTAAAATCATATGATGCAATAATATGATCCTCTGGAAACTAGCTAAAACTCACATGCAGCATTCTAAGCACCATAGAACTAATGACTGTAACTTAAGTAACAAGCAGTTTTGATATAAATGGGTCTTTGCATGCCTTTAGGCTTGCAGGCTCAACTGTAATTTTCATAGAGGAAAAGGATAATTCTTCATTACTTATATAGATCGATTTATTTACGAAATGCTTAACAAATGCCCAAATAAAATTAAAAAGTTATTAAAGGAACAAAAAAAAATGGTGCAATCGCCTACGTAACTCCTCTTTAACTCTTTCTAAATTTTTTTTTTCGATTTTACCAAACCTGTCGCCTGATGATCACGCTACCTAAGACCAAGAAGTATTACCTCACCATACTGATGAAAAACGGAAATTCAATCAAGTCTTTTAAGTCGTTCAGCTTTTGGCGCATTTTCAGAAATTCAAAACGATAACAAAAACTTGTACTTGTAGGTCATTATGGCCCTAGCCATAATGACGATCCGTGGCACCGACCACAATAATTACAGCCTTGAACACGAGAATGGATTATCCGCACCGTTACTGAGACACAAGCGAGGTAGCTGAAACCACCCTTACCCCTTTGGTCTGTCGTGCATCATTATAATACTTTTTTGAAAAGATTTAGGCCTACTAAAAAACCTTTGGTGGACTTTAAAATAGGAACCAGTGACATCACCCATAAATTTCAGATTTAACTTAAAATCCAAACAATAGTGTAGAAGCAAAACTTGTTTGAATATGCTTTAATTCTAAACAGGTTTCTGTCTTGTCCGTTAAAAAGGATTTTGAAAGAAGAGAAAGGAACCAGGAGGACACATATGACCTNACCGACCACAATAATTACAGCCTTGAACACGAGAATGGATTATCCGCACCGTTACTGAGACACAAGCGAGGTAGCTGAAACCACCCTTACCCCTTTGGTCTGTCGTGCATCATTATAATACTTTTTTGAAAGGATTTAGGCCTACTAAAAAACCTTTGGTGGACTTTAAAATAGGAACCAGTGACATCACCCATAAATTTCAGATTTAACTTAAAATCCAAACAATAGCGTAGAAGCAAAACTTGTTTGAATATGCTTTAATTCTAAACAGGTTTCTGTCTTGTCCGTTAAAAAGGATTTTGAAAGAAGAGAAAGGAACCAGGAGGACACATATGACCTGGTTCAAGTGATCGGCATCGCTTACACTCCTCCCCCGCATTCTCGCTAACGCCCGAGAAATGACCTTCCTGTAACGACAGGTCTTTTCAGACTTGGTTAGTAAATTGAAATGCCCGATATTAAGAAAACCCTGGTATAGGAAATAACTTTATTTGTCCCAGTTATGGAAGCATGTATGAGGAAGGACCCCCGGTATCCTGGTTATGATATACTGTACACAACCTTCTTAGTGCCTTACACTTATTAACATGGCATTTCATTGAAAGCAGAATTTGCGGTATGAATTAATTCGTGACTTTTCATTTCTACCCGACAAATCTAAAACAAGATCCGTGGAGGCTAAGCCGAAGTGCCCGCCCTGACTTAATAAGCTTATTATCGCAAGGGTGTTTACATTCTATGATTTGAGAGGGTTCGTGCTCTTTCACAGAAGGGGGTTTATAAGGCTTTTGCTATAATTTTCGCGAACAATGGCTTCCAATCAAGTCTAGGGGCTTTTTGCGAACGCCTATATAGGCATCAAGATATTTTCGCCCAAAAAAGGAATAAGTCAAATAAAATAATACATAGTGGTAGAAAGCAGTGGTGTAAAACTAAAAATTTCACATTATTAAGAGTAGACCGAATTTTTTCTTCCGTAGCCTGCGATCATACCCTCTCCCTTTATCTCTGTAATCTGTTATTTTTTTTCCCTCTCAAGCCAAAGAAGCAAAGAAGCAAAAAAAAGAAAAAGATAACGCCTGATCTCAGGTTATTTTTTCGGCAGTGCCTGAAGCTCTGAGAAAGTTACCTCTCACGCAAACCCACAACATCACCTAAGGGTCTCAGGAAACTTTTATTAACCTGAAGAGTAAAGACAAAGATGACCTTCATTTCAGTCGCGCTTTTCGTGACAATCGTTGGTGGTCAGTCTCGTCTCCTCTCTGGTTCAACTTTTTGGGTATTCATGAACTCCTAAACATCCACTGTGAGCGGATTTAAGTGTCTACTTGAAGATCGGTAATATATTTGCTAATCATATACGACAATGTCAGAACAGCTTGACAACAGAGACTTCCCAAACACCATGAACTTGAGAGAAAATTTGTGCTATATCCGGCAACTCAGGAATACCAACCACTCTATATCTATTTTTACCGTTCGCTCTGAGTAATTTCAAATTAAAAACGGCATCGGAGAAGAATTTCCCTCTTTGGAGAATTTCAAAAACATGTTTTCATTGGGTGCAAGGCTTAGCGACAATCTTAGTCGGTTAACATGGGCGTCAGGCTTGCCAGTATCAACATAAACAATAACGTAAAGGATTATACCTTAGGCTACACCAGACAATTTGTTTACGATATAAACTACTTGATTATCCTCATAAAAACGACTTGCCTTTTCGCAATTGTTTAGCTGCGCTGTATCATAGCGTGAGCGCAATAATGCCTCCGATGAAATCATTTTTTTTCATCCAGCAGTTTCCATTTGAAAAGCTTTTTGGTTTTGGTCATCAAGTCCAAATACGTGACAGACAAATTTTGTTCCTTTGAGCTTGCTATGTGTAGTATTGTCTAGACGTACTGGTAAACACGTTTTGCAAGCTACAGCGTATACCTGTTGAATTGTCCAAGGAGATCCCCAACAGAAGAAAAATGATGTAATGTTTCAGATGGAATAACTGCAACATCATAGCTCTTGACCGCGGTGTGTGCTCTCCGCGCTAATCGAGATATGTAAACCTAAAGATATTTAGTTGCTTATTAACAGAATTAAACAGGGACGCTTCTGGCGCACAATTGCGTCACAGCATTTGGGGTCTGGCCCTGGTGACAGATATGTCTTTCACAGTCACGCTAGATCTTGATATCCTCTTTAGAACCAGATTTTACGAAACTGCGGTTTTCATTTTATTATAAATATATATATTTATAATATTCGGTTAAACTTAATGCGACCCTGGTCGACTGTTATCGACCTGGTTATCGACTTAAAATACACAGCACGTCATATGGACATAAACAGGGAGTTACATGGTATGTCATTTGCTCATTTGTTAGGCAATTTGGTGTGAAATCATACCGCGCGCACGCGTGATTCGATTTGAAATCACGAGTGTGATATCAGACCAAAATTGCACGACATGAAGTTCAATTACAGTGGAACCCCGCTATAACGAACCTCGCTATAACGAAGACCCCGTTATAAAGAACAACATTTGAAAGCCCGGCAGATTTACAGTAAAATATGTTGAAACGAACCCCGCTATAACGAACCCCGCTATAACGAAATCCCCGCTATAACGAAAGATTTTGACGGTCCCAACGCACAATTTACCTCGCTATAACGAATATTTTGTCCTGTTGCTCGGTCGCAGTCAGTAACAACGACAGATTTGAGCGTAGAGTAGAATTCACAGCTTGCTTTATTCCGGTTTTCTCAACACGCGACAGAAGATAAAACGCTGTACAGATCAACAGTCAACAAATCCTTTGACAGCAACCTATCAGTCAACGGCTTATTATGTCATAGACATTGGCGTTATACAGTATTTCGACATCAATTAACTCGTGTAGTATTGAATTTTTGGTAATTTTAAATTACCCCGCTATAACGAATATTTCTGTTGTTGACCGGATAATTCGTTATAACGGGGTCTTCGCTATAACGAAGACCCCGGTATAACGAACATTTTTTTCGGTACCGTGACACTTCGTTATAGCGGGGTTTCACTGTACCACTTTATTACAGCCATTTTGAAATCACAGAATTTAGTCAGTACCAATATTTATTTGATCTAATAGCCGTTTTGTTGAAAAGCGGAAACAAAAAAGCTTTTGCATCTCATTTTCTACACGAAACAAAACTGATGCAATATAGAGCGAAAATGGTGCGATTTAAATTTGAAATGACCACGCCATTTAGAAAAATCAGGCCCGGCCAGGGGGGGTAATGGGATACCAATATACCCGCTATTTTGCCCCCAAGATACCAATATACCCCAAAATCGTAAAATGTGTGATACTAAATACCTAAAATTATTTTGACACAGAAAAAAAACACTGAAAATGAACAGAGTTTAAAAGTGTTGACGGGCCTGTACGACTCCTGCAGTTAGCAAGTAGATTTGTCTTAAAACCTTTATAGTTTAATTTAGCTCTTTCTAGAGTGTCCTTTGTATAAGGTGCCATTTCCCCATGAGTATGTTCTTGAGGTTGGGCAACGCAGGATGGTATTGCGTTACAAAGGGCATGAAAGGGTAGTTTTTTCTTGCGTGCATTTTTGTTTCTATGTTTTAGTGCTTTCTTTCTGTCTGCGAAAATGACCTCTGAGAGATGTTTTTTAGCCTGCAGTGCAGGCGTTTTCTTTGAGCGCGCAATTTGCCCGTGAAAGCGCCATGTTGAAACTTCCCGAAGAGAGCAGGAGATGGGGCGAGTCCCCCCTTTCCTTATTTCGCCCTCGCACCTACCGTAAGGGTTACTATTTCTACTCTCCCCAATCTTCCACTGTCATAAAATCAAAGACGGCGGCTACAACAATATTACGATTTCGCCCACCCAAAATACGCCTGCACTGCAGGCTAGAAGTTTTTCTACAGTTGTAGCTGGGCAATCTCTATTCTTTAGGCGTGTAGAAAAATTCCTCATGTTCTCTTCAAAAGTGATTTCAGAGGAATTTGTTCTTAGAAGCTTTAAAGCTTCTCCTTTGATGAAGCCCTCTTGGAATGTCTCTGTAGGCTTGAAGTGTGTTCTCACGTCGAGGATAGAATCCTTGTTGAACCTTTGTCCAAGAATGTAGTTTCTGTTTCTGATATTTCGGCCGTGAATTTGATTGTAGGATGGAAGTTGTTTGCCTTTAGAAGGAATTCTTCTATTTCGTTTCTACTTGTGTCCTGCACTGATATAATGTCATCGATAAACCTTTTCCAAAAGATGGGCTTAATGCTGCTCTGTCTGAGTATTTCTTTTTCTATTTTGGCCATGAAGATGTTAGCAAAGGCTACGGCCATTTTCGTGCCCATGGCTGTTCCATGGGTTTGAAGATAATCTTTCTCGTTAAATTGCAACAAGTTTTCTAGTAGTATCAGACTTAAAAAAACCTGGTAGGGACACTGGAGAGTTTCCTTGGTGAAATTCTTCGTATGCTTGGCATATACCCTCTCGTTGTGGTATGTTTGTGTATAGGCTTGTGACGTCCATTGAAACAAGTATGGCACTTTTAGGCAGTTTAATCCTCTCGATGAAGTTAATAAAGTCTGTCGTATCTTCAAGATACGAAGCTTGTAGTTGTGCTATTAGCTGAATAAGGTGGTCAACAAATGCTGATATCCGTTCTGTAGGTCCGGAACACCCTGAGATAATAGGTCTTTGTCTTCCGACAGGTGTCGGTTTGTGGATTTTAGTAAGTGTGTAAGACACTGGGATTCGCGGAGGATCAGGCGTAAGGGAAAGCCATTTCGCCGTCGTTTTATCAATGTGGCCTTCTAAGAGCAGTGTTTTAATAAGTTCATGAGCTCTTTTGGTTGTAGTTTCAACCACTGTTTTGTCTAGAGGTCGATAGTTATTTGAATCATTAAGCAGAACCTGACCTTCGTTTAGTTTGTCTTGTCGGCTCATCAATACGGTGGTGTTACCTTTATCAGATTTCTTCAGAATAATGCTTTTGTTGCGCGATAACTCTTTGAGAGCTTGGCGCTCTCCCGTAGATATATTATCTGTTGGCTTGTCAATGAATTCAATACTTGCGAGCTCTAATTGTACCTCCTCTAGGAAGGTCTCCAGAACTACAGATGGCTGGACTGGTGGTTCCCAGTCCGACTTAACGTGAAAAGGATGAGGTTCGTTTTGCGATTCAGGAGGGGTGGGGTTGGGGGACTGGGATAGGAAGCCAAGCAGTAACAATTTCGAGCATCCGCACTATTTCTAGTGCGCATTAGAGCGATAATAAAGCTGAGAAATGAATTATACATTACTCAGTGATTTCTGTACCATATACCAAATACCTAAAATTCAGGAAAAACTGAATACTTTATGCCCGAATTTTGACCAAAAAATACCATATACCTGAACTAAAATGGCCCGGGATAACGTGTACCCAAAACCCCTGGCCGGGCCTGAAAAACAGTGTGATTGGTGACTAAATCACACTCCTAAGAGCCAATAAGATTGCAGGAATCACCAGTGATTTCTAAATGGATATAAAAAGACAGAAGTCGTTCATTTCGCTCACAGTTTAAGAAATAAAACTGAAGAATTCCAACACATATAATATCTTTCCTTTCCTCCCTTTTTCTTTATTACTATGATGTTCTCTGCGCAGAAGTATCTGATGCTTCTTCTGCATGGTCCCAGACATATCCACAAGACAATTAGTCCTATATACATATCACTAGACTGATCTTACACCTGCAATTTTTTGCTGTATAATTTTATCAACCTTTGAAGTATCCTTTCCTTTCATTACTGACTGCAGGTGTTGAATAATGCATGCTGTGGCATAGAATATTACTTATCTCCTGATTTAGCCTTTCAGATAAATATGAAGACGAATCAGTGTATCTGCGACTCGCACTGTTTTGAGGCGATGATATAGGTTGCGTTAATTCGGAGGAAAATTCGCTATGTAATGAAACATTTCCATTAAATAAGGTAAAACTTAAAAAATTTAACGAAACATTTATGTCGATTAATTAAGATAACACTTTCAACGTGCTTTGTTTCAATGTTGTCAGTCAATCGTTAGGGACACTCTATTCATTCTGCAAAAATCCGGGCACGTTCTGAAAGACAGGAATAAGAAAGAGAAAGTATTAAACTAATGACGAGGAAATGGGAGATAACAATGTTGTAGCCTGAGGGGTTAGGGCCAACATGAAGGATATTTTTGTAGTGGTATTAATTTATTTATTTATTTTTTTTATTATTCTTGATTTTTTTTTGTTTGTTTGTTTGTTTTTTGTTTTTTGTTTGTTTTTTTTGTTTTTTTCAATTATAAAAATGAAACGGAAGAGTAGTATGGGTTTTAAGCGGTAAACCAGTCCATTTGCTCTACCAGTACCTACTGATTTGTTCACTGGGTTAATGTCAAAACTATGCGGAAATCTTTGGTCATAAATGACCGGCAAACATAAGAGAGTCATAGAACAGCCCAGCGTTGGCCTAGTAGCGAGTCGTTTTAATCATGATAATATGTCAAAGTTTTTCCCAACAAAGTACATGTAATAAGAATTTTCCTGAGAAGCTTCACAGCCTGACTAGCAAAGCTATACTGTAAAATGGCCTGGGGCGACACAATTTTTTTCACAGTCCATATTTTCGCTTGTATGCAGACTGGACAAATTTGCAATGTGAACTGCTGAGGCTGTTTCCACCACTTTATTTTTCACTGGCGGCGTCGTAAACTCGTCTCCAGGTTTTACTTTCATTGCAGATACGAAAAGTACCCCATCACATGTACGTTTTTTAGGCATCAAAACTTTGGCCAACAAAAATAAGTTTGTTTCAAAAAGGTATATCGTGTGGTTCCAAAACATATCCATACCCCCCCCCCTCCCCCACATGGAGGGCACTTTTGTTTTTGTCAAACCCCACCCCCACCTCCTGGAATTTCCGTAATTTTCCAACTTGGTTGGGTACCCTCTGGAAAGAACATTTACGTCAAAAATGCCGATGCACTATACTTTTATGCGAAAGATAATTGCTTCTGCGATAAAGAGATAATTTATTATTATTATTATTATTGTTAATACAGTTGTAAATGATCCCTGGATCCCCCTCCCACTGAATTTCCGTTGCCCTCCGTGGGGGCGAAGTATGGATATTTTCTGGAACTGCACATCGGTATAAAAATACAAGCTGCCGGACCTACAAGAGAATCGTCAGTTGCATTGAGTATGTCTGAACTTCGTAGTTATCTTTTCTTACCTGGACATGAGTTTTGGACTATGCTCTGCGCCACGGATGCAAGTTTTGCGAAATTGGCAGCCGTAAAGACGTTAGTGTCTGAACTGGCTATTTCGCCCAGTTGATCTCGATTGACTTTTTTGCCAATTCCAAGGGAATAAACTTTAACATTCTTATCTTTGATTCCTCTGGATGCTATTGAAAGAGGCGTGTAAGGTCCTCGGTCTGTTGTCTGTTCGCCGTCTGTAATAACAATAGCAATCTGAGAAGGAAGAAAGAAAAGATCTTATTAGTGAGTCAAGATACTTGGAAAAATAAAATTGAGTTTTATCAAAGATGAAGTCGATGTAGCCATTTTAACATGTCAAAGACTAAAAGGCTGACATTTCGAGCGTTTCCCTATTGACCTCTTTTTATCCTTTTTTTTTTTTTTTTGTTATAATTCTTTTATAATTTTTTTTTTTTTTTTTTGTCGGTATTGGGAATTTTTGAGTTGCGACATATTTTTGCTCAAATTTCTCGTTTTTTTACTTGACAAATTCCTCGTTTCTAAAGACTCTACTTTAAAGCGAACGTAAGTGCGCAACGGTTTAAATGAATTATTTTAGTATTGAAGATAGGAGAGATGTTGTTGGTGGTTTAATGTTTTTGGTAATATTAAATGTAGTTTTAAAAAAGAAAAAGAAGAAAAAAAAAAAAAAAAATATTAAATAATAAAAGGTTGAAATTTAGAGAATTTACTTATTTTCCTTTTTTTATCCTTTTTTTTTTTTTTTTGTTATAATTCTTATATAATTCTTTTTTTATTATTTTGTCGGGATTGGGAATTCTCGAGTTGCGACATATTTTTGGTCAGATTCCTTCTTTAGTTAATAGGCAAATTCCGAGTTGCTCAAGACTCTACTTTAAAGCGAGCGTAAGTGCGAAGCTGTTGACATGAAATGATTTAATTCTCATTAAAAAAAAAACTCATTTTCAAAAGAAAGGTTTTGAACGTGCCCTCGATTTGAAAGTGAGAGATTTTGAAACTCATGGCCTATACTGGGGCTGGATTCAACATGACATCTTAAGTATTGTCTTTTAAAAACAAGAGGCCATTGTTTAAAATTGACTGAAACTCTCACTTTAAAATACTCAACAACGTGAGAGCAAAAAAGGGAGCGTAGCGAAGACTTTCCATACCTGTGGCAAATAAGGTCTCATTCCAGAGACTGTGGTAAATATCTGTTCGTTGGCCAGTGTGAGTGCTTTATCAATAAAGGTGTAGCCCCTCTGAAACCTAATCCTCTCGATTAGTCTGTAGTATCCCTCCTCTGTTACTGCAGATCCCGTGAGCCTGTTAAATTTAAACTCGACCTTTGCACCGGTACTGTAAGCAATCACAGCAATATGCGTCTTTTGTGGTCCAACATTAAATGCTTTCACCATGTCTTTGACAAACTGGAGCATTTTTACCCAGTTTCTTCTTCCAATGCTTCCCGAGGAATCCACAATGAATGCCACATCTGCCACAGCGTTACAAACGAATTCTAAGAATGCAGGAGAAAAAACGAATTGAAAATGGGGAAAACCAACAGGCACGGAAGCACAGAATTCTGGGTCAATTTGGTGTTTCATTAATTAAACTGTGAGGGCCTTAAAGCGTAAATACTTTAAAGAAATTTAGTTTAAGCTTTTTTGAGCTGATTTCTTGGATCCTTTACTCTTTCATGACTATCTACTTAATATTTAGGTGCTACTCTGGTACTTATGTACCTACTTAGCTTTTATAAAAATAAAGTGCCTAGAGACATTGTAATAATCGTAATTTAAATAATGACGATGATGATGAGGATGATAATAACAGTTAAAGCAAATGCGATCGAGATTATTATGGCGCGCTTTGCGGTTCTTATAACGTTTCTATCTTGACGGGTATATCCCCAACCAAATCAGATTTTTGAGCATTCAGCCCTATCAAACTGAGCACAATTTTGAGAAATTTACTGCGAAAAACATTGACTAATATCTCAATATAGAGCTAAAAAGATTTTGTATAAATTTAATATGCATCGAGACTTGCCTTAACATAACTATTATCTAAAATTTTTATAATTGTCTACTTACCATCAACAGCAATTAAAACATCCTGGCTACTTGTGGTCCCCACAGCATTGGTTGCCGCACATTTGTAGGTTAAGTTACCACTGTTCATTAATTCTACTTTGATCATTCCAGTGCTGCTATTACGAATGAGAGCATCATTCTCGTACAAGTGATACAATTCCACCGGCGGATTTCCGTTAGCTGAGCAGGTAAAGTTCACAACATCAAACTGACTTGCTTTATTAGAAATCAGATCTGTTGTCAACAGTACATCTTCTGGCTTGACTGAATAAAGAAAAGGAAAACAAGTAAAATTTGTCTCAGAAGCTGAGTCTCAGAGAATCCAGGTTACTAACGTAGTTCGATCCCATTCGAGAGTTTTGAAACAGTTACAGGTGTCCGCATAAACATACCAACTTTCGTTAGCAGACATACGACGGTACATCAGTCATCTTCAGAGTTATATATTGTGAGGTCGCCGTTGAATTTAAATCTCGCGCGATGTTTACAACCTTCGTTACAGTGTGTTGGCAATATTGCGTACTAAAAAGTTTAAATTAGTGACGATTAGCTACTTATTACTTACTTACTTAATTCACTTACTTAATTACATATGTGTGTTCTAATGAGACGTCACTTACAGTGTACAATCAGAAATGTGCTCACAATATCCATTCCACAAAAATTGCTGGCTTCACATTTGTATTCACCAGCATCACTTCTATGGATGTTAATAAGTTCACGGACTTCCCCTTCTGTACGGCTGCCAGTCCTAACGTCTTTCCAAGACACCGATGGCTTAGGACTCCCAGTAACACCGCAAATCAGATTCCAGTCTTCACCCTCTACTGCTGTGATGTTGTTGACAGTCTTTATGGTGCTTCCCGCTATTTTAAAATTAACAGCACTGTAAGACAATTAGGTTCACATTTTATTTAACAATTACTTTCGAAAAGAGAAAAGTCTATGCAGAATCACTGGTTGTTTACCATTTACAGTGACAGTTGTTGTAGCACTTGCAGCCCCCACAGAGTTGTCAGCCACACATCTGTAAACAAACACTCCTCCAGTTGTTGCTGTTTTACTCCATATCAATGAGCTTCTGTTGCTTCTGCTTACAAGGACATCATTTTCAAATAACTGATAGACTTCCACGGCAGGGTTACCATCAGCAGAGCAGCTTAAACTTAAGACATCACCCTGACAGATGTTTGAGTCATTTACTCTTAACTGGATATTCTCTGGCTTAACTGAAACAAGCAGACAAAGGAAAATTCAGCCCATTTCAGGATAGCCTGAGAGCAAGTTCTCCTATTTGGGCGAGTGAAGCGAGTCTCGAGAACCGCGAGGGTCCCTTGCTCGCGTGTTTTCGCGAAGCTCACTTCGTTTGCCAAAATAGGAGAGCTTGCTCGCAGGCTAATTCTAGGCTTCGTAATAGAGCAGCAATAGTTGTGCTAAGAGAAGGATCTAACAACGATCCAGTGTTACAACTTAGCGGGACTAACCTACTTAGTAGGCGGCGACAAAATCTTTCATTTACAAGTGTTTGAATGGACTTGTACCTACAGAACGTTCTTCTATTGCACAGCGAATTAGCCATAATTATAAAACGTGGAGCAGTGAATTTAATATTGTACTTCCGGCTATGCGAACTAAATTTAGAAACAAATCCATATCATACCAGGTAGCAAGGGCCAACAATGACCCATAGGGCTCGGCAAAGCAATGTCAATCTTTATCCAAATTCAAAGAGATGCTGAAAAAATATAATTTTGTTATTTTGTTGGGTAGTAAATTTTTCATGAGTATCTGCCTTTTTTATATTTTGTTACATTCTCATGGATTTAATTTTCGTTTATCAGGACCCCCATTCAGCCCTGCTGAAGAGGCAAATACTGAATAAATATGGGTAAATTTGTTTCTTTAAGGCCGAGTTAGAAGAGTACCCAATACGGACGGACACTCCGACCCAACAAGATAAAAAATTCTGACTAACATATCCATCCATAACTTGCCCTAACGTAAGACCAAAATAATTTCAAATTGTGTGATCACCTTGTTTTGAAAAAGAAATAGTACGATAAAAACGTTTCTTTAACGAAAACGGCCAAATGAACAAACAGTTTGCTATTACCAAAAAAGAGAAAGATACACAAAAAAAGAACCTAACCAGTTTCGAAACAGTGCTTAGCCCTAATCAGTAAAGGCAGTGTTTAACTCTAATAAGTAGAGAGGACAACAACGTTGTGTAAATTTCATGAGATCTAATGATAACAATATACAAGCTGAAGAAGGTTTATCAGTAGTCACTTACAGTTCACAGTCAGAAATGTGCTCTTGGTGTCATTTCCACAAAAATTGCTACCCACACATACATATTCACCAGCGTCACTTCTTCTAATGTTAATGAGGGCAAGCACGTTCCCTTCTGTACGGCTACCAGTTTTTACTTCCTTCCAGGAAACTGATGGCACCGGATTCCCAGTAACACCACAAGTCAGATTCCAGTTTTCACCCTCAACTACCGTGATGTTATTCAGTCTGTCTATTGTAGATCTCTCTGTTTATAAGAATCAATATGGTATTAGCGGAGCTCCCGGCCGACGCGCGCAGCGGAGCACGATGAATAAGAAAATTTTGGTTTTTCTATGCATCCAAGAAGTTTTGATTCTGACAAAATCGCCCGTAAGTACGTCCGACGTTCTCCTTTTCATATTAGCGGATGTGAAATGAGACACTTACTAGCTGGAAGTCAAAGGTATATATTTTTTGTGTTTTTAAAACTTGGTATTGGACATTCATGTTATGATGACAGCTGTCAAAAAAGAGTATCCACTGACCAGTGTCACATGATTATATCGCGGGCTCAGGTTTACAACTAATCGGTTTGACGTATTTTTCAAAGTTATCCGCTGACCAGTTTTTGGTTTTGAATTGATCGCTCAGCTCCATTTTTTTTAAAGGTAGAAGTCAGTTTGCTTTCTGCTTACGGCAAAAGTTAAATTACTTGAGAAAGACATTCCTTAAAAGATCCCTCGAGAGCTTCGCTTTTGGCCTTGGCTATATCTATTCAGTAAAATCTAACTAGTGGTCTATTATCAATGCTGCGTTCTGATTGGTCGAGTTACTACTAGGCTATATGTTATAGCCCACTTTAGCGAAAAGCACCGGCTTTTTGGTGGCAAAAAAGGATTAAAGTCTAGCTTTAAGTAGCTAAAACTTTTTTTTTATTCTCGATCATTTTGACCAACTAGTTGGATTTTACAAAAAAAGTTATTCCTCTCGCCCTCATTGCCTCTGAGTCAATAGCCCACTCAGAGGCCATTCGGGCTCGAGGAATAATTGTTAAATATTATTGAGTATGGAAGGGTAAGAAATGAACTTTGCAAACTGAAAAAAAAAATGGAGTGTTTTTACCATTTACAGGGACAGTTATTGTAGCATTTGCGGTCTCCACAGAGTTGTCAACCACACATCTGTAAACGAACAGTCCTCCAATTAATGCTGATTTACTCCAAACCAATGGGCTGCTGCTGCTGCTGCTGCTAACAAGGACATCATTTTCAAATAATTGATAGACCTCTTCAGTACGGCTTCCACCATCAGCAGAGCAGCTTAAACTAAAGACATCCCCATGACAGATGCTTGAGTCATTCAAAGTTAATTGGATGTTCCCTGGTTTGACTGAAACAACAGAAAATGGAAGATGAATCCCTCTTCGTGTACATTCAGAGACAGATTCAGGGGATCTAAGTACTGCATTTCTGAACGCCATTTTTCAGATAAAAGAACTTTTTAAATGCCTGTTATCTGTTTCTTCTTTGGAAATTGGGCACACAAGATTGTTGCGTCGAGGTTAGGTCGATTAAGGGCCGATGTGCAGTCAATGTGTTTGGTGTGCTGGGTCGATATTCAGGCTAATAAAAAATTGATAAGAGGTGGTGGTCTTGGTGATGTAAACGGCTGAACAATACAAATCTGGTGGGGGGGGGTTGGTTAGAAATGGGTTGGCTGCGTTTGTTTGAGAGAAACCGAAGCTAAAAATATGTCGGTGGCTGTGAAAATGGAGGTGAAACAATTGTAATATGGTGGTTGTGAAAATGAAGTCATTAAAGCAGTTTCAAATAATCTAGAAGACAGAAAGCAAATGTTTTCCTTGCGAGATTTTGGAGATTGACCAAACGCCACGAAACTAAGCCTGATGAAGCCTTGAAGGCGAACAAAAATAAGCTAACAAAATTAGTAAATATGATATACATGTATAAAACTAGCTACAATATGTTATTTGCTAAAATTCGTTGTCATTCCGTAGTAAAAGATATGCACTAACATCGAATCATAGTTGTAAAACTATACCTGGGCATGAGCTTTGGACAATCTTCATCGCTATAGGAGCGAGTTCTGAGAAACTGGAAGCTGTAAAGACTTTTGAACTTGAACTGGCTGTTTCGTTTAGCTGATCTCGATTGACAGTTTTGCCGATTCCAAGGGAGTAGACTTTAACACCTTTATCTTTGAGTGCTCTGGATGCTACTGAAAGGGGCGTGTAAGGTCCTCGGCTTGTCGTCTGTTCACCGTCTGTGATAACAATAGCAATCTGTAAGAGAAAAACAATCATGTAAGAAGTGAGACAAGGTATTTGGTAAAGTCTCACATTTGAATTATTTTGTTTTAATAGAAGTCTTAATTAACCAGTACATGGGTAAATGATATCCTCGCAGACGAAATCGTTTACCCTTTATGGCCATACTTACTTTAGGTAAGAAAAATACTGAAAGAGCTTCTAAATTGAGTAATTTAACCGCACAAGTTTAGTCCCTTAGAAAATGAAAAAAATATTCTATGTGCTGGCATATTTTATTTCCTCGACGAATTTCATGTGTCTCTGGTATCACCATATTATCATTTACAACGCTGTCAGGGCTTAGCTCTCTTGGTCTACTGCATTTTCTATCAACTTCAAATTAAATTACACTCAACTTACCACCTTTCTTAATTTTTTCCTTAACAGATACAATTGAGAGATTTTGTGTAAAGTTTTCAGGATAAGGAACTGAAACCTTTTTGCGGCATTTTATGATCACAACCTTTCTCGGCAAGAAATAAAACAAAAGAAAACTTTAAAAAATACTGGACCAGTACATGAAAAAAAAAACCAGCGAAAAATTTTAATACCTGTGGCAGATGAGGCCTCATTCCAGAATTGGTGGTAAATATCTGTTCATTGGCTAGCAGGAGAGCTTTATCGATGAAGGTGTAGCCTCTCTGAAACCTTATCCTGTCGATGAGCTTATAGTAGCCTTCCTCTGTAACTTCAGATCCCAAGAGCCTGTCCAATTTAAATTCTACCTTCGCACCGGTACTGTAAGCGATCACAGCAATATGCGTCTTTTGTGGACCAACATTATACGCTTTCACCATATCTTTGACGAACTGCAGCATTTTTACCCAGTTTCTTCTACCAATGCTTCCCGAAGAATCAACAATGAATGCGACATCTGCCACAGCTTTGCAAACGAATTCTAAAAACGCAGGAGAGATAGAAAATGAAAAACCGTCAGTGCAGGCACGCAAAGTAACTTAGAAGTGTTTTATGACTAACAGTTATATTAGTGTTGTAAACGGGANGGCAGATGAGGCCTCATTCCAGAATTGGTGGTAAATATCTGTTCATTGGCTAGCAGGAGAGCTTTATCGATGAAGGTGTAGCCTCTCTGAAACCTTATCCTGTCGATGAGCTTATAGTAGCCTTCCTCTGTAACTTCAGATCCCAAGAGCCTGTCCAATTTAAATTCTACCTTCGCACCGGTACTGTAAGCGATCACAGCAATATGCGTCTTTTGTGGACCAACATTATACGCTTTCACCATATCTTTGACGAACTGCAGCATTTTTACCCAGTTTCTTCTACCAATGCTTCCCGAAGAATCAACAATGAATGCGACATCTGCCACAGCTTTGCAAACGAATTCTAAAAACGCAGGAGAGATAGAAAATGAAAAACCGTCAGTGCAGGCACGCAAAGTAACTTAGAAGTGTTTTATGACTAACAGTTATATTAGTGTTGTAAACGGGAGTTGATTTCGTGGCCAACAGATAACCCTTAGAAAAGGGCATGTCCCCATGCCATGCAACAAAGGAAAGGAAAACTACTGGATTCTTAAGCAAAATAGAAATAACGCGTCGAAAGGTTCCCTTAAACAGTTCGATATTACTGTATTAATGAGTTTACTGCATTATCAGATAGCTGAAGTAGACGCTTTATCTCTATCTGAGCGGAACTGAAAATAGGAACCGTCAAACGAGCAATTGTAGTGACCACACTTGAGTTAGTAAAATGTTGCGAAGTCTCTGACTTCTCTACGGTATACTTTTGGAAGAAGATATCGTCGTTCAAGGCACTCATCGTAGCTTACCTAGGGAAAGCAAACCCTTGCAGCATATTATCGTTGGACTCCCTGCGCTAGCTTTGCAATTGTCAAAGAGATAGATCTCGGGCTCTAGATTTAAGAGCATGATCAAGGTGGAAACTCACAAGGGCTATTTCGGGCGGGATCTCCATGGTGGTAAGTAGTATGGTCGCATAACATAACCACTTTTCATAACTTTAATAATTCAGTATCAAACTTACCATTAACACTAAAGTAAACTTCCTGGCTGCTTGTTGTTCCCACAGTATTGGTAGTCGCACATTTGTAGGTTAAATTGCCGCTGTTCATTATAATTTCGCTGAACACTCCAGTGCTGCTCTCACTTATCAGAACATCATTCACGAACAACTGATACAATGTCACTGGTGGATTGGCATGTCCTGAGCAGTTGAACTGCACAGGTTCAAACTGCTTTACTTTTTTAGATGTCGCGTTTGTTGTCAACTGTACATCTTCTGGCTTGACTGAAAAGTAATAAGCCAAGAGATACATATTTGATGAATAATTTGATACACCTGATGGCAGTGAGGGGTCAAATTATATTGATGGAGTTTAAATAATCTTAATTATCATTCGATGCAAATTTTTCTCCCTTTTCGTTGGCCGAAAGCCCATCATGTGATCTATAAATAACTGCCTAAAAATAATCGTCTGCTCATGCGCAATGTCGTCCAACTGTGTTTGGCTGCAAATAATGTTCAGCTCATGTGTAAACGAAACCAGGCTTTTCTCCTTCTTGCGATCGTTCTTGCGTGAAAAAAAAGGCAGATCGCTTCGCTTCCCGAAGATATTCATTAAAAAACAAACTTGGTGATCGAATGATAAAACAATTATTAAACCTGGTTATCGCAAAATATTGTGATTTGTCAGTGTCTCGCAGATCAATTATAATATTATAATTGATCTGCTCGCCACTGACAAATCACGATATTTTGCTCAACCTCGTTCAATAATTGTTAGTCATTGGCTTGCTAAAGCTAAATATTATTACAACTGTAACAAGCAAGCCATCACTTACAGTGTACAAACAGAAATATCCTCTTGATGTCATTTCCACAAAAATTTCTTGCTTCGCAATTGTATTCACCAGCGTCACTTCTATGGATATTAATAAGCTCACGGACGTCCCCTTCTGTACGGCTACCAGTTCTAACTTTCGTCCAGGATACTGATGGCACAGGATTCCCACTGACACTACAAGTCAGATTCCAGTTTTCAGCTTCTACTACTGTGATGTTGTGAAGAATCTGAATAGTACTTCCTGCTATTTAAAAAGAAAATTAGGATCTCATTAATATGAGTTTCATCGATCAATTATTCATTATTTTATACAATGGAGAGGAATACCATTAATATATTACTATGTAATAATTCTTTACAATTAAGTCAATCAGAGAGGCTTCTTGGATCGCTTTCATGACTTAAGAATCTTCGCGATTAAGTCCCAGGTGGCAGGAACACATTCCCACTGGTACTTGAAGAAATCAGTAGCATTGATCATTCAATGAGTATCAAGTATAGGTCGTTTTGAAGTATCAAATAAGTAGCTTATTTACCATTTACAGTGACAGTTGTTGTAGCATTTGCTGTCCCCACAGAGTTGTCAGCCACACATCTGTAAACAAACACCCCTCCAATTGTTGCTGTTTTACTCCATACCAATGGGCCTCTGCTGATACTACTTACAAGGACATCATTTTCAAATAACTGATAGACTTCCACGGCAGGGTTACCATCAGCAGAGCAGCTTAAACTAAAGACATCACCCTGACAAACGCTTGAGTCATTAACTGTTAATTGGATGTTCTCTGGTTTAACTGAAACAAAGAAAAAACACGAAAACTCAATTCTCTTCAAGTAAATTCAGAAAATTCCTCTAGATTTCAACAAATTACGAATCAAAGACCAAAATATACGAAAACTTAATCCTTTAAATTGGACACAAAATTAAGTGCTGAGTATAGCTACATTGTATGCAAGAATCAGGTGCCCAATCCCCATCTGACGACCTTAACTAAGGCGACCTCGGCGAGCACGCTGACCCTCCTTTGATACGAAAAGCTGTCAAGTTAGTGTAAGTAAACCATTATAATGATAATAATAGTACCAACCATGGCGGTACAAATAGTTCTACGCAGTAAATCGACGCTATTGCCTGATGAAAACCTGCAGCACGCGGTTGAAACGTTGCGATCAATATCTATGTGACAATCGATCATGAGACAAACGATTTACGGAACCCTGCATTATCCACAATATCTTTCGTGCCGATTGTTATCATGAGAAACATGCACAAGAAAATGAAATTTTCTTTACTTAAGGCATACACTTTTATCGATTATTAATTAGGCTGTAACACAGTGGAGTTCTCAAAATCAAGTTTTCGAGGTGAGCGAAGCGCCGGTATAAGCGATTTCTCATGCAAGCCACACAAGCCTACGTATAGGCGCAATTATTACCTACAGTTGTATACGCAAAAATACTTACGGGCTGTTTTTATAATTCAAAATTATTAGAAACTTACAAAAAATGCCAAATACAGTTATAAATGAGATTTAGGATCAAATTATCACATTAGATTTTCATATCTTATTTCGCAAATCAAATATTAGGCAAATAGTTTATTTTTATATAAACCATTTTTTATGATAAAATATTACATTAAAAAATTTTAATCGGCAATCCCTTACAGTTTACAATCAGAAATGTGATCTTGATGTCATTTCCACAAAGATTGCTTGCTTCGCACTTGTATTCACCAGCGTCACTTCTACGGATGTTGATTAGCTCACGGACGTTCCCGTCTGTTCGGCTTCCATTTCTAACTTCTATCCAAGATAAAGATGGCACAGGACTCCCCTTAACACTGCAGGTCAGATTCCAGTTTTCACCCTCGACTGCAGTGATGTTATCCAGAGTCTGTATCACAGGTCTTACTGTCATAGACAAAAAAGTCAGGGTGTTATTTAATATTTTGTATTGAAAGTTAAACAATTAACTAATATGCACAAATTAAAAATTATTTTACCGTTTACAGTCACATTTGTTGTAGCACTTGCTGTCCCCACAAAGTTGTCAGCCACACATCTGTAAGCAAACACTCCTCCAGCTGATGCTGTTTTACTCCAAACCAATGGGCTTCTGCTGCTTCTACTTACAAGGACATCATTTTCAAATAACTGATAGACTTCCACGGCAGGGTTACCATCAGCAGAGCAGCTTAAACTAAAGACATCACCCTGACAAACGCTTGAGTCATTCGCTGCCAACTGTACGTTTTCGGGCTTGACTAAAGCAAACGGAAAAAGGGAGATTCAACTTGTTTCAAGTATATTTTGATAAAGATTCGTGAGTTTTAAATGCTACATTTCTTAACTTCACCAAAAACACGTTAAGTTGAATTGTAAAAGATTGGGCACACTGCTATGGATAGTAAAACACGAATGTTCACTGATAAGCAGTGCTCATTTAAAGACACTGTACTTTTACTTATAAGCAGTGCTCATTGAAAGACTTTACTTTTACTTGTTTGTTTGTTTATCTGTCTGTTTCTGTAGTAGCAGTAGCAGTAGCAGCAGCAGCAGCAGCAGCAGCAGCAGCAGTAGTAGTAGTAGTAGTAGTAGTAATAGTGGTAGTAGTAGTAGTAGTAGTAGTAGTAGTAGTAGTAGTAGTAGTAGTAGTAGTAGTAGTAGTAGTAGTAGTAGTAGTAGTAGTAGTAGTAGTAGTAGTAGTAGTAGTAGTAGCAGCAGCAGCAGTAGTAGTAGTAGTAGTAGTAGTAGTAGTAGTAGTAGTAGTAGTAGTAGTAGTAGTAGTAGTAGTAGTAGTAGTAGTAGTAGTAGTAGTAGTAGTAGTAGTAGTAGTAGTAGTAGTAGTAGTAGTAGTACGCACAGTGTTGCTTGACGTTCGAAAAGAAAATCTTATAAAATAATCTTATAAAATTTTGGTCAGAGGCATGATGGACTGTCACAGGGTGACCGAAAGTACGACCGTGTCTAGTGTACTCCTTTGACTACTCCAAAGCTTACGACCTGCTCACCATATGAGTCACCCATTGTTCAATGGGTAGAGCGTCCAAAAGTAACTGGGAAACGTAAGTTCCATTTCTACTGGAGGGCTCGAACTTATTTCGGGGCATTTCGCCTTGTACTTTACTACCAATTTCGGTTTCGTCACACTATATTTTTTTTGGAATCTAAGCTATTCCAGTTACGGCCTGTAAATAACCTTTCAGATTTATCGCGATTTTTTGGAGGTGACCAAGGGCACGTTTCTGGAAAGTCCCGATAATAAACGGGCCCGGTAAGCTGACTCCAGTTACATTAAAGATTGAGGTTTCAATAGTTTTTCATCTAACAAGATAAAACTATCAGTTAATGAAACAAAATGGAGTAGTTTGCTAGCTAGAACCGGCGCTCTTATTCTTTATATTTTGATTTGAATATTTGGTTTCGGGCCCGAAAAGTTACCGGGACTTTCGAGAAACGGGCCCCAAAGCCCATATCCATGTTAGTTAATTTATGCATGAAAGTTACGGACTGGTTGGATCCTTGTTTGGTGAGGACGCAGAGTTCGCCTCATGCTTTCTCTTAAAAATCAAGGCCAAAACTTAAAATTGCCTTTTTGGGTTATATAGTTCTAATACCAGTTATTGCACAAGTTGTATTTAGTATTTTAGTAAGCCAGGAATTCAGTGATAATGCATTAACCAATACTTTGTCTGTAAGTTAGCAATCACTTACAATGTACGATTAGAAAGGTGCTTTTTGTGTCATTTCCACAAAGACTGCTTGCTTCACATTTATATTCACCAGCGTCATTCCTTCTGATGTTAACAAGCTCGTGGATGTTCCCTCCAGTGCGGCTGCCAGTTCTAACTTCTATCCAGGATACTGATGGCGCAGGATTCCCAGTAACACCACAAGTCAGAATCCAATTTTCACCCTCCACGGCGGTGATGTTATTTAGAGCTCGGATGGTACTTCTCGCTATTCAAAAGTAGAGTTCGACTATAACTTATCTGGATTAACCCTTTAATTAAGCCCCAATATCCACTTGCAAATTCTTTAAACTGATCTCCATACATTTCCTTAAGGAATTGGTTGAGAGAATTTGATAAAAGATCCAAGCATTTTCACTTTCGTGATAATTTTATTACTTCTCATAACCTCTTCTCTTGATAATGTATTAATATTCACTTTTTGATAGGAGAAAATTGATTTTAGTCACTCTTGGGACTAAAAGGGTTATGGTTAAATTATCAACTTCACAAAACGAAAAATTAATGCAATATAACTTTACCATTTACAGTGATTGTCCTTGTGGCATTTGCAGTCCCTGCAGAGTTTTCAGCCACACATCTATAAACGAACTCTCCTCCAGCTAATGCTGTTTTAGTCCAAATCAACGGGCTGCTGCTGCTTCTACTGACAAGGACATCATTCTCAAATAACTGGTATTCTTCCGCGGCGGGTTTACGATCAGTAGAACAGCTTAAACTAAAGACATCACCCTGACAGAAGCTGGAGTCATTCACTGTTAACTGGATGTTTTGAGGTTGCACTGATGCAAACAGAAAAAAAAAATCAACTCATCTCATGTACGTTCTGAATCAGCTTCAGGGGGTCTTAATGCTGTATTTTTAAATTTTAAGTAATCCAACAAAGGAAGAAAAGTGTATGTTGCCTCTTTCTTTAGAGTGGACACACAACATTTTACAGTGGATGCACATAATATCAGTCGCGCTAAATGTAGCCTGCGATGAACAGCAGACATTTCGCGACACCACGAACAGTTTCCCCCCACAAAATGAAATAGGGTGAACGAGCGCAGAAATTTCATACTGATGACGTAACATTTCCTTCTTCTAGGTAGTGTTTGTCATTGGCTGAACATTTGCTTCAACTAATCATTCCGCTTAATTGCTAAACCCTACCTGGGCATAACCTGTGGAAAATGGTCGGCACCACGGATGTAAGTTCTGAGAAACTTGCAGCCGTAAAGACGTTTGTTTTGGAACTGGCTATATCTTCCAGCTGATCTCGATTAACATTTCTGCCGATTCCAAGAGAGTAAACTTCAACGTTCTTATCTTTGATTCCTTTGGATGCTAGTGAAAGAGGCGTGTAAGGTCCTTGGTTTGATGTCTGTTCGCCGTCGGTAATAACCAATGCAATCTGACAAAGCGAATGATAATTAGTGAAATGAGTTGCTCGGAAAAAAAATCTCAGATTCCTTCCAAAAGAAAAAATAGGAGCTTAATGAGGGTCCGAATTTAAGTAGAAAATAATGATGCTAGAAAAGGAAAATATTATCAAACTTAGCAATCATCCGAACTACTAACTGCCCTAAAATACACCATGAGAACAGCATAAATACCAACCGATAGTTGACAAATCCTATTTATATCCCTTTGTTTCCCTAATTCGCCAGGTTATGAAGACGGAAACAAGGTAAGCATATTTTGAAGTTTGAACTATTTTAAATGATCACGAAAACAATTATTGGACAAGGCATAGAGTAACACCCTCTGCGATCTTTATAATTATTCATATCATATTATCCATGTCCTCTGCATGTCAGTCAAGCCCCACCCAAGGTACCCCATTCGCTGCGATAATTCCCGCTTAAATTATAGCAAGCTTTTGCAGTGTATGCTTGTTTATTTCTCTTTTTTCTCTCTCTTTTTTTCTTTTCCTCTTATTTTCGCGTGCTCTAGTGATGTTGGCCATGAAGACCCTGAAAAACTGACGCCCCAACTGAGTTGTTGTTTACTTATTTATTCTCTTATTTATTTATTTATTTTTAATGAGTTTGACTAGGATTTTCCATACCTGTGGCAACTCAGGTCTCATACCAGCAACTGTAGTATATATTTTCTCATTGGCAAGCATGAGTGCCTTATCAATAAAGGTATGGCCTCTCTGAAACCGAACTCTGTCAATGAGACTGTGGTAACCTTTCTCTGTTAACTCACATCCCTTGAGACTGTTAAATGTAAACTCGACATTGGCATCAGTACTGTAAGCGACCGCAGCAATATGCGTCTTCTGAGGACCAACATTTAGGGCTGTTACCGAGTCTTTGATGAACTGAAGCATCTTGGCCCAGTTTCTTCTACCAATGCTTCCCGAAGAATCTATGATGAATGCGACATCTGCCACGGCGTTACAAGCGGATTCTAAAAAGAGTTAAAGTTAAGAGAGAAATTAATTAGGGGAGTGAGGTAGTCCAATCGTCGGGAAATCTGACTCGAAATAAGTCAAATACGGATGTTGCGCAAAGCAGACCTTCGATTTGTTCTACCAATTTCAATTCCTGAAAAAAGGCCAAGTGTTTCCCCATTTTGGTTTATGAATCATTAGGAGTATCAGGCCACGTCCACACGAATCCGATTACGCTGAAACCGCATACTCAATATTTGCCTCAGTAAGAATTCAGTGTAGTATATCTGGTTTCGATTCACCAATCCACAAGAATAGGTTACTGTGACCACTAGCTTGTGTGCATGCGCAAATCGTTGTAGCTACGTCGGGCACACCGGTCATATGTCTTTTCTAATTACAGCGCTTTTAGCCCGCAGCCGTGAGTTTATATCTTAGGAATGTCTCAAGCAGGAATGTTACTGAGAAGTGAGCACGCAAACTGCAAGTTCATTCGTTCGAAGCGACGATAGAGCCGAACTTATGTTAAAATAACCAGCGACTACAAGACATCGAAGCGAAAGGCAAAGGACGACTGGAAACTGCTCCAATCCAAATATTCTGGTGTATACTGGAATTGTTCCAGTATTGCCCACCATAATGAATTTAGAAGCTCGCATTTAAGCCTGGACCGGAGTTTATCGGGACGTGGCAGACATGAAAAGCATCCGGTTTCAGTCGTCTACACGAATTCACCAAGCCCGTCGGATCCAAAAAAGAAACACCCTGGAAAGCGGTTTCAAAAAGATCTGCGGTTTCGGTGTGCGGATTACGACTTACGTGTGGACTAAAGGTCGATTCGTATCCAAAAATATTTCTGTTTCAAAAACATACGGATTAGACGAGGCTGCATTTGACTCTATCAGAGGAGCGCTCGTTAAGTAGTTAAATGAGCTAAATGCATTCCCAATAAACAAAGCGTTTATTCTATCTATGCACGAGGAATTTAACTCCTGTTTGTCCACCCATTCAGTGCACGCGCTCGGAAAGAGAGCCGTCATGGAATGTAGAACCTGTGAGTTATTTGTTACGGGTAATCTGAGAAAAATATGAAAACAGCCTTTTTTAAGAATTTTAAACGGGTCGTTTAAGAGAGTAAGAATGAACTTGTGCATGATGCGGGATCAAATCAAATCATGCTTAAGTGCCACTTTCAGGACAGGAGAAGGGGTCGTTCTCAAAACAGTTTTATCCTGTTAATTTAATGGACTCACTTTCACAAATAACTATGTCTAATCTATGACTAGTAACGCTGAAAACTTAAAAAAAAAAAAACAGTCATCGGCAAAAGTTTTGGGAAAAATTGGCTTTTGTCGGCCTTTTCTGATCAAAACATGCCCATCCCCTCTCCTGCCCCACCCCACAAACGATTGTGGACGCGGGTATTCAAAATTTTTTTTTTTTAGTTTCAAATTAATGTATGGTGGGGGGAGGGATAACTGAACGATTGAACTGTTTTATGAGGGCATTCACAATTTCAGATAATTAGGAATACTGCATCGCTATCCCAAGGACTTCTGTCTGGGATTGTAGATACGTACGTACCTGTCGCATTTGATAGTACAAAATGATTTTCTGAAAATGAAACATACACAATCAATGGACACAGAACACTGAGAAAAGTAACTAAGAAACAGTTAAGACGCAAGAACAAAAAAAAATCAGAATAGTCGTTTCATCTTGCCAGCTCACGTAAGCAGCCATTCAGGAAATAAATGAATGATGAATTAAAGTACGTAATTTGATATTTTAAGACTGGAAAGTTTGAAATGGAATGGAAATAAAGCAAGTCGTAAGCCGTCGCCATCAATTCATAGAATCAAATACAAATGATGCTCTATTATTATTAGATCCTCAGGTATGATGCGTCGGCCGTGATGAATAACAACTATTGCGGCAGAACGAAGTGGTTGCTGGTCATAATCAGTTTGCATTAATTCAAAAACAAACCATGACCATAGGTAACATGGATGTCAACTAAATAAAGGTTTGATGTTAAGTAGTGTTTTGTATTTTCTGGTCAATTATCCCTATATATTTCTTGTAGAAAAGCCTGCAAACACGCTTTTCTTTGACTCAGAAGCTGATGGGCATTCTATCAACACGGGACGTTCTCTTCGAATCCTGTGGCGCGGGCCCTAAGTGCCCTAAGTATAACACCGCCCGCTCAGCGCCCGCTCCTTAAGATTTGACGAGAACACTCGGTATACGTTATATTACCAAGACGCCGAAAAACAAAAAACAAGGTGTATTTCCGGCTTTCTCTACGGGGAGAATTGACCGGACAAGTAGACGTAGACGTAGACTGTCATTTTGGAGGATGAATGGTATGCATCTGTCAAGGCCTACCTGGGTTTGATGAATATTGGACAATAATCTGCGCTAAGGGTGCAAGTTCTGAGAAACTGGTAGCTGTGAAGATGTTGACATTTGAACTGGCTATTTCGTTCAACTGATCGCGATTAATTCTTTTGCCGATTCCAAGGGCATAGACTCTAACTTTTTTGTCTTTGAGTCCTCTGGATGCTATTGAAAGTGGAGTGTAAGGTCCTTTGTTGGTTGTTTGTTCGCCGTCCGTGATAACAATAGCAATCTGTTGAAAAAAAAAAAGAGCTAGTAAAACCGGTAACTTGAAAAAAAGAATCGAATTTCTTGCAAGGAAAGATAACTCAACCTTCATATTAAATTATATATTGGTTTTGCCCCACAGCCTTTCATGCTCTCCAGAAAAGAATTTTTGTCCAGTGTGATTGTTTAGATGCTAACGACCCATTACCAGCCATTCAAAAATGCAAAAATACTACGTGGTACTAGAAGTTTGTCTCTCTTATAAGGTTTTGATTGTCCACCCCCTAATTTCATCGAAAACAGTTGGAATAGCGGACAGCTTGATGCTGTTAGGCTACGAATGAGTAATTTATATGGTGCTACAAAGAGGGTGATAATGGAAAGTTAGCTAGGAAAAAATTCGCCTTTTAAGATCTGCTAGGCACTTTCCGGCTCAGGTTGCTGCGTTATGTTCTCCTGTGCGCATGACCATTAAGCCACAACACACCCGCACAAAGCCACGTAAAAGCATACACAAGAAAAGAGAAAATGGCCATTGGGCGACACAAGCACCAAAGTACTGAAACATTATAATGAATAAATATCCTCCTCGCATCAGTATGGTGGGTTCAAGGCAGACTTTTTTCAAGTATTGTAGAAGCTTGTAATAATAGGGTGCCGAAGAGATCTTTTACTTTTTCGATGACTTTACAGATACCCGTTTTCCATTTTTTCTCAGTCCCTGAAAAAAGTTTTAACAACCCATTCAAAACTATACCGGCAAGTGCAAACTAATTTGAGCATTCTTATATTGAATGAGAGGTAGGCGAGAATTACACTTCAACAAGCATCCCTTACAATACAGAGACAAGAATTAAACGGCAATTCTACTTATATACTCATTAGCACAAGACATTTGACAACAGTGAGAGGAAAAAAAAAAGCTGAGTACCGGTAAACTTCCGCTTACAAGCCCTCCCCCCCCCCCGGCCAGTTATAGGCCCATCAGTTTGTAAAAAAAAAATATCCCCGATTATTTGCCCCCGGGTATAAGCCCCCTGTAGCTTTTCTTTTCTTTACGGCCAGTAAATGGAAAACGTATTTTGATCAGCACTGCTTTCGCTTGTTTTGAACCGCTTTTTCTATTCCGGTTATAAGCCCCTTCTGAGATATTAAGCCCATCCGTTTATAAGCCCTCCTAAAACTCCCTTACGGGGGTGTGTGGGCCCAAGTAGCAGTTTATGGTATAATAGGGAGCTGATTAGCAAAGGCGATTTTCAGCGACTCACGTCAACCGGAAGTGAGGTGGTTTACATTTTAACATGCCTTCAAGCAACCAAATTTGTATTTCTTAGTGTCTTCACTGTAATAAAGACGACCTGCCTAAAACTTTGGGCAAAACCAACCCCCCAGAATACAAAAAGTCCACTTCTAGTGGACGTTTGGCGGTCAAAAACGTCTCAAAAACGTGACTAGTATTCTTTTCAAACCTGCGGTAAGCCAGGTCTCATTCCAGAAGCCGTGGAAAATATTTCTTCGTTGGTCAATATGAGTGCTTTGTCAATAAACGTAAAGCCTCTCTGAAACCCCATCCTGTCGATGAGTCTGTAATATCGTTCCTCTGTTATTTCAGATTCCTTGAGACTGTTGAATTTAAACTCGACTTTGGCATTGTTACTGTAAGCGACTACAGCGATATGCGTCTTCTGGGGACCAACATTGAAGTCTTTCACCATGTCTTTGACGAACTGGAGCATTTTTACCCAGTTTCTTCTACCAATGCTTCCCGAAGAATCTACTATAAATGCTACATCCGCCACACCTTTACAAGCGAATTCTGAAGGGAGCAAGACAGAGGGAACAAGTTCAACGTAATCAGTTAGAGTAATCAGAGCAGTCCAGCTTCAGCTTGTTGGTCACCCGAAATTAGGAGTACGAGGCATGGAGTCCTGCTTTGACCAATAGCTGGATGTAAGGGAATCTCCGGATTCCGGAAGACGGGAAATTTTTGTTTGTGGAATCCGGAATCCAGCAAATTTTTTCTTGTGGAATCCGGAATCCAGCAAATTTTTGCTTGTGGAATCCGGAATCCAGCGCCTGGAATCCGGAATCCACGTTGTAGAATCCGAAATCCATGACTGTCTTCGTTCTCCTTACATGCGGCGACTTAGGCCTTATGCATGGTTACGTCAGAAAAGAAATCTTCACCACCAAACTTTGTTTGCGAACAATGTTATTTCCCATTCCACTCTCTGTGCAGGGTATTCTTTCTAACTCTTCTACCGGGGGAAATGTTTTATTTTAATTGTAAAGCGAGGCTTGGTGGTGAAATATGTTCGTCTGGCATAAACATGCATTTTTGTTTTGTTCGGCTTTTTAACTTTCGTATGCTTCCCATGGATTATTTGTATTGAGAATTTTTAAATAAATCCGTTGTTTGTGTATATTGTGTGTCACTGTTGGGCAGGCAATTCACCTCATAGAAAGGCGAAGAAACGCATAGCCACCCATTCAGCACGTGTTCCAAACAAAAAGAAAGTTATTTTTTGCTTTTTTTTTCTGCATTTCACCCTATCAAATTGTCTAAAGAGTTATAAAATACCAACGTAGTATAAAAAAGTTTACTCGCAATTTTTCGCCAACTCATTTGGCATTGAATCTTTTGCTCCGTAAGTTGCAGCTCCTAGACCAGGCAAAAGAGGTCCTTAATTGATAAATTTATTACTCTAGACGGAAAAGGATCATGTGTTAAATCTGTATTTTCTTAATAAACCCATACAAGTACCAAATTTATCTATAATTCGTGACAATATAAAACTTAGCTAAGCAATAAGAGTAATGAATTTAATACCTGTTGTACTCGGTGTTGTAAGAGGTGCTGAAAAGAGAACACAAAGAAATATAAGCGGTCAGGAAACATCATTTTCTTGTCCTATAAAGCATTTCCGTCGACGTGACAAGCAGCTAAGCAAATTTATTGAAACAAAAGATAGTTTTACGTAAGAAAAAGACTCAGCTCCGACAGGGCTGGTTTGGAAGATCAATATGGCCGCCGTTTGATCGTTTTGAAAGACCAATATGGCGGACGTGACGTCATGTGAAAACGCAAGCAACGTTTTAGGAAGAACATGTGAAACAGGAGCATAAAAAGTTTTCATTACAGACACTATAATTTCTAAGGGCCTGTTTACATGGAGTGGGGAACCCCAGATAGGTGAGGTAACATGTGGCGGGTCACTCCACCTATCATGTAAACGTGATCAAATTAAAATTAGAGATTGTATGGACAGGCGGGTTACCTCATCTATACCTAGGGTCCCCCTCCTCCATGTAAACAGGCCCTAACTCTTAAACTACAGTCTGTATAGGGGGCTGATCAGTTCGTAAAAATAATACAATTGGTTTCTCGGTTAAAATCGTCGATGAAGGCGAGAGACGATTAAAGGGAACAGCTCACATTACAGATACCCGTTTTCCATTTTTTCTCAGTCCCTGAAAAAAGTTTTAACAACCCATTCAAAACTATACCGGCAAGTGCAAACTAATTTGAGCATTCTTATATTGAATGAGAGGTAGGCGAGAATTACACTTCAACAAGCATCCCTTACAATACAGAGACAAGAATTAAACGGCAATTCTACTTATATACTCATTAGCACAAGACATTTGACAACAGTGAGAGGAAAAAAAAAAGCTGAGTACCGGTAAACTTCCGCTTACAAGCCCTCCCCCCCCCCCGGCCAGTTATAGGCCCATCAGTTTGTAAAAAAAAAATATCCCCGATTATTTGCCCCCGGGTATAAGCCCCCTGTAGCTTTTCTTTTCTTTACGGCCAGTAAATGGAAAACGTATTTTGATCAGCACTGCTTTCGCTTGTTTTGAACCGCTTTTTCTATTCCGGTTATAAGCCCCTTCTGAGATATTAAGCCCATCCGTTTATAAGCCCTCCTAAAACTCCCTTACGGGGGTGTGTGGGCCCAAGTAGCAGTTTATGGTATAATAGGGAGCTGATTAGCAAAGGCGATTTTCAGCGACTCACGTCAACCGGAAGTGAGGTGGTTTACATTTTAACATGCCTTCAAGCAACCAAATTTGTATTTCTTAGTGTCTTCACTGTAATAAAGACGACCTGCCTAAAACTTTGGGCAAAACCAACCCCCCAGAATACAAAAAGTCCACTTCTAGTGGACGTTTGGCGGTCAAAAACGTCTCAAAAACGTGACTAGTATTCTTTTCAAACCTGCGGTAAGCCAGGTCTCATTCCAGAAGCCGTGGAAAATATTTCTTCGTTGGTCAATATGAGTGCTTTGTCAATAAACGTAAAGCCTCTCTGAAACCCCATCCTGTCGATGAGTCTGTAATATCGTTCCTCTGTTATTTCAGATTCCTTGAGACTGTTGAATTTAAACTCGACTTTGGCATTGTTACTGTAAGCGACTACAGCGATATGCGTCTTCTGGGGACCAACATTGAAGTCTTTCACCATGTCTTTGACGAACTGGAGCATTTTTACCCAGTTTCTTCTACCAATGCTTCCCGAAGAATCTACTATAAATGCTACATCCGCCACACCTTTACAAGCGAATTCTGAAGGGAGCAAGACAGAGGGAACAAGTTCAACGTAATCAGTTAGAGTAATCAGAGCAGTGCAGCTTCAGCTTGTTGGTCACCCGAAATTAGGAGTACGAGGCATGGAGTCCTGCTTTGACCAATAGCTGGATGTAAGGGAATCTCCGGATTCCGGAAGACGGGAAATTTTTGTTTGTGGAATCCGGAATCCAGCAAATTTTTTCTTGTGGAATCCGGAATCCAGCAAATTTTTGCTTGTGGAATCCGGAATCCAGCGCCTGGAATCCGGAATCCACGTTGTAGAATCCGAAATCCATGACTGTCTTCGTTCTCCTTACATGCGGCGACTTAGGCCTTATGCATGGTTACGTCAGAAAAGAAATCTTCACCACCAAACTTTGTTTGCGAACAATGTTATTTCCCATTCCACTCTCTGTGCAGGGTATTCTTTCTAACTCTTCTACCGGGGGAAATGTTTTATTTTAATTGTAAAGCGAGGCTTGGTGGTGAAATATGTTCGTCTGGCATAAACATGCATTTTTGTTTTGTTCGGCTTTTTAACTTTCGTATGCTTCCCATGGATTATTTGTATTGAGAATTTTTAAATAAATCCGTTGTTTGTGTATATTGTGTGTCACTGTTGGGCAGGCAATTCACCTCATAGAAAGGCGAAGAAACGCATAGCCACCCATTCAGCACGTGTTCCAAACAAAAAGAAAGTTATTTTTTGCTTTTTTTTTCTGCATTTCACCCTATCAAATTGTCTAAAGAGTTATAAAATACCAACGTAGTATAAAAAAGTTTACTCGCAATTTTTCGCCAACTCATTTGGCATTGAATCTTTTGCTCCGTAAGTTGCAGCTCCTAGACCAGGCAAAAGAGGTCCTTAATTGATAAATTTATTACTCTAGACGGAAAAGGATCATGTGTTAAATCTGTATTTTCTTAATAAACTCATACAAGTACCAAATTTATCTATAATTCGTGACAATATAAAACTTAAAAAATAAGAGTAATGAATTTAATACCTGTTGTACTCGGTGTTGTAAGAGGTGCTGAAAAGAGAACACAGAGAAATATAAGCGGTCAGGAAACATCATTTTCTTGTCCTATAAAGCATTTCCGTCGACGTGACAAGCAGCTAAGCAAATTTATTGGAACAAAAGATAGTTTTACGTAAGAAAAAGACTCAGCTCCGACAGGGCTGGTTTGGAAGATCAATATGGCCGCCGTTTGATTGTTTTGAAAGACCAATATGGCGGACGTGACGTCATGTAAAAACGCAAGCAACGTTTTAGGAAGAACATGTGAAACAGGTGCATAAAAAGTTTTCATTACAGACACTGTAATTTCTAAGGGCCTGTTTACATGGAGTGGGGAACCCCAGATAGGTGAGGTAACATGTGGCGGGTCACCCCACCTATCATGTAAACGTGATCAAATTAAAATTAGAGATTGTATGGACAGGCGGGTTACCCCACCTGAGCGGGTTACCTCATCTATACCTGGGGTCCCCCTCCTCCATGTAAACAGGCCCTAACTCTTAAACTACAGTCTGTATAGGGGGCTGATCAGTTCGTAAAAATAATACAATTGGTTTCTCGGTTAAAATCGTCGATGAAGGCGAGAGACGATTAAAGGGAACAGCTCACCAGCTCAGATTACATGTAACTCGCCTCAGTCTTAATACTAGTAACAGTTGATTCTAGTTCTCATTTTTGGCTTTCTACGAGTCACATCCAGAGTAACTTCGGTATGGGTGCCTGCTGATCAACATTTTAGCTCAGGTCCAAAACAACTCATTTCGGTTTGAAATCAGAGTAATACGAAACCGTAACCGATAGAGCATGCACAATTTTCGTCGTCGATCCAAGATAGCTGGGGTTTGGACATAAGCGACGGATTGAAATGAGGAAAAAGCGCATTTCTTTCTTTTCCTTTAACCAGGATTACTTCACTAGGTCGTACTTTTCCGGAACTATTAGGGCTTGGAACAATAGTATCCCTCATTCTATTAAGCGTGCTACTTGTGCTCAACAGTTTCCTACAAGACAATGCTAGGTACATATCGCCCGCCATAGTTAGACCCGTAGCACACTCTTATTGCACACACCCTTTCTTCCTTCATATGCATCAATCTTTTTTTTCATCCGATTTTTAATAGTAATTTATGTCTTATTGTTTTAGACATCGTACTCCTGCCCTGTTGTCATCTTCTGTCAGCGTGCTGTTGTTTGTGTGTTATAACTTCTTTCTTGACAAATATCAATAAACTAAACAAGAGCTTGTAACCCCCAAAATTTTTAGATGGTTCCTTAGAAATCCCCTTTGGATCAACTCAGGTGTTACAGAGTTGCTTTTGGGAGAAGTGTTAAAATTAGTTTAAATGAATCAAAGGTATCCCAATATATCCAATCCAATAACGCTGGAACAACATTTCCATTCACCGGTCATTTAGAATTGATAACTTGCGTATTGCGAAAGTAATCTAGCCGGCGCTGTCTGAAATCCAGGAATTTTGTAATCTGAACTTTTAGTAATTGTAACTAATTGTGCTTACTGAGAACAAACTCGGTTACAAAATGTTCAACTCTGTCGCTTTAAAGACGACTTCATTCTCAGGAACTACGTAGCTTGTTAGCCTACGAAAACGAACGAAAAACAGACGAAAAAAACCGCCTCCCACACAAGCTTGGATTTTGTTGAAGAGATCTTAGCCGAAGAACGCTGATTTCCGCGCGATTTCTGAGCCGGAGAGAAGCTGCGCCGCGCTTATCTCGAGATTGGAGCGACACATATCGGATAGTTTCTGTGTCACACTTTGCCGGGTGCGCTCACTTACTCCCCGGCTTACCTATATACGCTAGACAAACAAAACCACCATATGCCGGCTACGAGAGGTGAGTGTGCAGCACGAGTCACGCGCGAAGAGAAGAACACAAAAAAATATATATAGCTTTTGAACTGAAATAACTCTTCACGCCCCAGCCACGCCGCCGCGTGACCCACGTTCCTTGCTCGCCTCCACAGGAGGGGGGGGGAGGTACTCCCTTACGTAGCCTTGAGGGGGATGTGCCGAAGGACATGGCATAGTGTTTGGCCTCCCAAAATAGGGTATATAATTTCGTTTGCGTCTGTCAATTGCCTGCACGTCTGATTTGGTTTGCTAGATAAATTTTGTTTTGTATACTAAAGCAATGACTATAACGTCAATGAATGGCGTGCATTTTTGTCCTTTGTCCTAAACATGGTAACAGAATTTAGAGTGTTGTCCTTAAACAGAGTATGTATTTTTGGAATTCTTTTGTCCTAAACAGGGTCAGGGTTTTAAACCCTCAGCGGCTCACCCGTACCCAAATATTAGTCAGGTGTCCCCCCCCCCACAACGGGGTGGCCTGAGTTATCCTGGAAAACGTAACATAAAAACAACTCCTGTTTTGCAGTTTAAAGAGCCAAAATCCCCTATGCGTTTTAACGTCTTCCCCTGTGGTTATTTACAATATAGTCTATTTGACTAAAGAGGACCTCTAAACCTGGAAAATTGCCGTGTCGGATTTCGTCATTTTGTTTTAAAAAGATACATTACAAAATTACAAAAATAGTCAGTGATTGCTTCTGAGGGGAATTAATCGACCTTGGCTTTGGTTTCCTCCAACTTTATTTAGGGGAACAAGACATCTTCCTTTTGAGTTTGTCCTCAACATCATATTAACATATTTCCAATTGGCGACTTTAAAGCCATTTTTTTACCATAGGGCATAGCCTGCGTAGCAAGCGTATCCGTTTTGTTTCGGAGCAAAGAAAGACTGAGAACGGGATTTTCGGTTTTGGCCACCCACTCCCCGCTCTTTTACTCGCGCCATTTTTAGCGCGGTCTTTGACTCTCGTTTCTCGTTCTTTGAAACCGCACGGAAACGCTCGCTACACAGGCTACAAAGGTCAATATCTTGTCAATAGCCTTGGCTTTCTTCTCTTAGTGTCCAACTTCCGGTCGTCCAGGATTCTTCTGAACTAGCTTCTGTGCGATATCTTAATTTCTTCTTCCTGGACTTGACACACTTTTTTTAAACTACATCAACTTCATATATCTGTGTCTTCTACTCACTATTTCTTTTGAACTAACACAAAGGAAGTATTCTTCCGGGTTTGCCATTCTAAATCATTGGGAAATAATTCTACTCCTACTACAAACAATATGCATTTGCGCGAATTTGCACAACCTTTGAATTGGAAAGACAATTTTTATTGTCATCACGACCAAAATTGAGACGGACAAAATTCTGAGCCTAACATGGTAGGGCCATATGTATGCATATTTTAATCCTGTCGATTTTTTCGCCTATGGCTGTTTTATGCGTCTCGTATAATAATGCCTCTGTTTGTCATTTCACAAGGAGCCCACACAATCTGTTTGTGTAACCGATGTAAGGTTAAGGTAAATGTACTGTATTTACCGTTTACTTCATCTGTAGCGGTATATAACTAAATATGTGCATGTATCAAAGATAAATAAACGTTATGTTACCTTTCCTTCGGTAATTTGTCGTCCTTTTGCCTGAGAAGTGGTATTTTGAGCGATTTTGAAGCATTCTGAGTTCGCTGTTCACTTATGAGGAACAGTAAACAGCGAACACAGAATCCTTCAAAGTCGCTCAAAATACCACTTCTCAGGCAAAAGGACGACAATTTACCGAAGGAAAGGTAACATAACGTTTATTTATCTTTAATACATGCACATATTTAGTGATATACCGCTACAGATGAAGCAAATGGTAAATACAGTACATTTAATACCATAAAATTACTGAAATCGGTTACAGAAACAGGTTGTGTGGGTCTCCTATGGTCATTTCAGCTGTAAATAGGAAGGCTTTGGTAAGTGAAAGCTTTTAAGCGTTCAATAGAGAGTGACCGTTTAATACAAGTTCGATTGTGCTACGTCAAGATAAATACTTCATAATTGACGGTCTAATACCTGATACACATTACCTGGACGTTCAGCTCTAAAAAGACGACTTGTGGGCATCT